CCAGTTACTAAACAATCAGCTCATGCGATAACATTGCACGACACTGACCGATGGTACTGACGTTCTACAACTAACTGGCTAACAGCTCTAGCACATCTTAGATGCGCATTCCAACAGCCTTCCAACTTGGAACAGAAATAACATAAGGAGGGGAAGGTGAGCGCAACCAAGATAAGCACGAGCTGAAAGTTTCAGCTATGAAGGACGTTGGCGGATGTTCATGCATGTCGATGACGATACTGGCAAGACCATTGGACAATAAGGTCAGACCAAGATTCAAGAATGTAAAGCAACATTCCACACAACTTGTCGGTCAGTGTCGTGCAAAGTTACCGCATGAGCTGATTATTTAGTAACTGGTGGTATTAGGGGACAGCATAGTATAACTTGTAGTTTCTTGGTCCAAAAAGGGGAGTGCAGCCTTTGCTCCGATGATCAATTTAATGGCGGTAACATAGGGTGGATATCTCTATGTCGTGGTAAAAATGGGGTGCGGCTTATACTCTTGAAAATAGTACGGTACTCGGGAAAGCGGTCAATTGTGAATTCCAAAGTGAAGACTCGATGCGTGGGCCCAGGGTACTGTTCCATGGTGCTGCGAACCCCAGAACACAATCTTGGGCGGTCTTGAGTGATTTGATCATGCTATTGTTCACAATGCAACCGCCATCTCAGCCCTAATTCTTGCAACACAGTCCACTTACATACGCATGAACCAGTCCATTCCCAATTTCCACTTCCAACGCCATTGCAAGAGGCAGGTGGCGACGAGGCCAATTTGAAGGCATTGTAGTCACAGGTAACAACACCAGAGCTTGAGACAATACTCTGGACGTTATCCAGATTGGAGTGTGAGCAAGCTGTGTGCACAGACAATAGCATACGTAAATGGAACACCAGCAGCAGCAGTCACACCAGCAGCAGCAACTCCAGCAGCAGCAGCAGCAGCAGCAACAGCAGTAACATCAGCAGCAGCAACACCAGCAGCAGCAACACCAGCAGCAGCAGCAACACCAGCAGCAGCATCAACACCAGCAGCAGCAGCAACACCAGCAGCAACACCAGCAGCAGCAGCAACACAAGCAGCAGCAGCAGCAACAGCAGCAGCAGCAGCAACACCAGCAGCAGCAGCAGCAGCAACACCAGCAGCAGCAGCAACACCAGCAGCAGCAGCAACACCAGCAACACCAGCAGCAGCAGCAGCAGCAACACCAGTAGCAGCAGCAACACCAGCAGCAGCAGCAACACCAGCAGCAGCAGCAGCGGCAGCAACACCAGCAGCAGCAGCAGCAGCAGCAGCAGCAGCAGCAGCAGCAGCAGCAACACCAGCAGCAGCAGCAGCAGCAGCAGCAGAACCACCAGCAGCAGCAGCAACACCAGCAACACCAGCTTCACCTGCTTATGCAACCTGAATTCCACAGCATACTCCATTACCCTGATTCCCGGAATTCCTGACTATTTACTAATGGGATTTATGTACTAACCAGACTCATTATAGCCAGGGAGGGCCCCTACCTACCGTGAAGTACTGTTGATCAACTGCGTACTAACTTCGTGGATCTACTCACCTCCTGTCAGTGTAGGAGCTGCATCTGCGCTTTAGAACATTGCACGGTGGTGCATTCCTACGGGTGCTGAAAAATAATTCTAACCGAGTCGCAAGTGAACCGTGATTTTTTTCTTTTTTTCCCTAGATCTATTGACTCGGACGTACGCGAGGTTATACAGGGAAACTCAGAGCATGGACTGCAGTGAAAGAGCAAGGGTCTCAATTATGCTACATTCATCTCCCAAGAAAATGAAAACATACCTTGACATGTGGGCACTGAATTGAAGTTTCCTCCTGCCGAAGTGCAGGTCCTTGCATACGCTGAGTTGGACAGGTAGAATCCTGAACTGCAAGTAACTCTGTACATTGTGTGCTGTCCACCGAAACTATGACCGCTTCCCTCTACGCTTCTACTATTGGCAACTGTTGGCAAAGTACATACAGCTGCACAAAACAACAACAGTGGCATGCGGAAAAAAAGGAGAAACCAGGTCTAAAGTGGAAAACAATTTGGAACACATCACTTTTCCACAGAAAACAACAAAAACACTGTAAAATTCTATAGAGCCGTGCTCACAAGATCCGAAACAAGCTGTTCAAAAACAAAAGAGCGATGCGAAATCCTTCTTACCATCACAGCTGCCAACGTTTGTCCAAACATCCTGGCTGCCAGGTGCTCTGTCGTTACATTGAGCAGTGACAGCACCGCCAGTAGTTCCACTTGCTGTCTGGACATATCCACTGCTACACTGGACAATGCCAACATCACTGATCATACCTTGCAGGTTGGTTGGGTCTTTACACACTGAAAACAATGCAAAAACACAACATCATGGACAAACAAACATAAACATAAAAAAACCCACTTCCAGTTGTACTTGCTCACTTCCGGAAACTGGTCATCCGGCTCTCCCCACAACAGGGGGGAGAGAGATTCCGGCAAAAGGCATCTTGGAAAGATGACTCAATTGGCTACCGTCACAGCCCAACAAACGACACTGGGTGCGCCTTACACTCCTCATAAATACGCTTTATATGGTTCAGCAGCACACTGACCATTGCGATGCTACAACAGAAGCCATAGCAGCTTGTGCTGGGATTGCACCATTTGTTGTTATTGTTGTTGTGTACTATATTTATAGTGGAAATCACCATTCAACAGCTTGCAAGGCTGAAGAATTGACCGCCACTATTCAGCCTGGTCTACACCACACAGCTATCAAATGACTCTTTCTGGTTACTGAATCCCTACTTCTTGGTCTGATTTTTCCCACACACATCACACCACATACTCCAGCGTGCACTGGCTGTTGGTAACCACTCAGGAGAATGACAGCAAAGTGACAGCAAACTGACAGCAAACTAACAGCAAAGTGACAGCAAACTGACAGCAAACTGACCGCAAACTGACCGCAAACTGACTGCAAACTGACCGCAAACTGACACCCACACCCACACCCACACACTGACACACATACTGTAAAACCGAGTACAAACGCCGCGGCTTCTATGACTTTCCTGGGGAAAATTTGCAGGCTTCGATATGAGACAGGCGTCTACATGTATACAAGACCGGTATTTCTATGTATGTCACCAGGCCTATGTGCAGACAGTGTATCTTGAAAATCAGGCTCGTATTCAAGACAGGTTTCCATATGAGACCGGCTTTAATACAAGACACTACGGTATATGAGAAGAAGAAAAAAAATCCTTTCTCCGGATTCTGTTTACAAGAAACATCTAGACATCCTGCTTATATATTACACAGTGTTTAATTAGCATCTCCCTTACATGTGCATGAACCAACACTCCACTGCCATTTTCCATCTCCATCTCCAGCGCATCTGGCAACTGGTGATGAGTCCAATTTGAAGGCAGCAGTGCTACATGTTACTACACCAGTAATGGCATTGATCTCCTGAACGTTTCCAAGATTAGAGTGCGAGCAACCTGCATTCAAACAAGTATTCAAAATCACGTACACCACAGCAAGGATTACCATAGAAACAAGAACAAAAACAAAAACAAGAACCAGTGAAAAATACCAACACCATTGAGAATCACAAAGACAACGAGAGAAGCAACAGCAGTAGTGCAACACCAACAACAGCCATAGGGAATAGTACTACTAGTCACAGAGCACAGTCGCAGCAGTTAAAAAATCAATCGGACCAACAGCAACAGCAGCGGCAACATCACCACCAAAGACAGCAATGATTACCAGAACCACCACCACAACTACCACCATCACCACCTCCATAAACGGCATGCACAAAAACACCAACACCAGTCGCAACAACAATAGCAATTATAATGAAAACATACTTTGACATGTGGGCACTGAATTGAAGTCTCCTCCTGCCGAAGTGCAGGTCCTTGCATACGCTGAGTTGGACAGGTAGAATCCTGAACTGCAAGTAACACTGTACATTGTGTGCTGTCCACCGAAACTATGACCGCCTCCCTCTACGCTTCTACTATTGGCAACTGTTGGCAAAGTACATACAGCTGCACAAAACAACAACAGTGGCATGCGGAAAAAAAGGAGAAACCAGGTCTAAAGTGGAAAACAATTTGGAACACATCACTTTTCCACAGAAAACAACAAAAACACTGTAAAATTTCATAGAGCCGTGCTCACAAGATCCGAAACAAGCTGTTCAAAAACAAAAGAGCGATGCTAAAATCCGTCTTACCGTCACAGCTGCCAACGTTTGTCCAAACTGTCTGGCTGCAATTGGCTCTGTCGTTACTTTGAGCAGTGACAGCACCGCCAGTAGTTCCAGATTTTTGGAGTCTTAGGTACCTTAGGTGTAGTAGACGGACTTTCCCCTACACAAATCACTATGTATTACTATGTATTGCACTATGCATTGCTGACACCATCAGATCCCTTGCTTTCATTCTCTTAGGTTTCAAATTCTATCTTCATAATCTCTTGCAGCATTGCATTGAAACTTTTGGGAACACAAACCAACTCGCTTTGGATTGTAAAGAAAGTAGGGAAATGTCACTGGGACTAAGCACTCCAACAAAAATTGCAAAGCTAGGTTTTCCTAGAAAAAAGGAGAAAAAAGGTGATTTCTCACATGATTTCCAATGTAACGTTTTTTTACGAACATGGGTTTATGGGATCCTTTCATGGAAAGGAACAGGTCTGCCAAATACAAACAGGGGTTCTCCATATTCGTTGAGACAATAAACACTACTAACGTAGGAAAAATGTCAATTCTTGTTCAAATTCAACAATCGAAGGGTCTTCAGTCCATTCAGAAAAAGCGCTGGCTCTGGAGAGGTCCCGTATTTGGCAATTTTTGTGCTACACTGTGCAGCGCCGCGAGATTCAAAACTTGAAAAAGGGTCCAAAAAAGGTACCTCGATTGGAGTTCGAACCGCAAATGTACTGTTATGCAAGTGGAGTGAACGGATTGGATTTTCATGGTTTTTCCCCAATTCAGTGCTTTGGGGGCAAAACCTAGCCGAAATCCTATTCTCATTATGGCTTGCTCTTTGGACAAAATCAATCCGGCCGTATTTATTTTCCGATTTGGGTATGTGCCACCATAAGTCATGTATGAACCCGCAAAGGTGCAGGCAAATATTGTATTACATACCCACAGTATAATAAACTACAGCAGGAAGATATCGAAATTACCAGAAGGCCTCCACAGCATATGAAGGGCCTTATTCCCGTAGCTATGCAGAAGACGTTACTTCAGTAACGTCTGGCGCTAGCCAGGGTCCACACAGCTTTAATTTGGTGTTTGTTTGTTTGTTTGTGTGTTTGTGTGCTTGTGTCACGCCTGGCGCTATCCCGTATCTGTCCCGTACCGAACCGTACCATCAAACACAGCTGGCCACATACAGCTGGCCGCAATATTCAAATAGGGCTTTCAAACGCAAGAATGATCATAACGTGAAGCAACTTGGAAGAATGAGTATGAATGCGAAGTGTATGGGCGATAGTGCGGGTTCGAATCCCAGGTAATGCCTGAAAAAAAATAGGAGAATTGAAAAATTTATAACATCCCTTTTCTTTTTTTGCCGTCATCAAGGCGGTAGACGGTGTCGTATTACCCTCGACCGTACCTGTCCCGTACCGTACCGTACATTCAAAGATGGCTGGCCACAATGCATATTCAAATAGGGCTTTCAAATACAAGATCATAACGTGAAGCAACTTGGAAGAATTAGTATGTATGCGAAGTGTATTGGGGGATGCATGCAGGGCGATAGTGCGGATTCGAATCCCAGGTTATGTCTAAAAACAAAAAGTAGAAACTTATAAGAATTTATAACATCCCTATGCTTTTTTTGTCTAGGTCATCAAGGCAAAAATGCATAGCGTAGGGCCCTGAGCTTCCAAGCTCTCTCGTATAATATTTCCACTCACAACTGGAGCAAACGGCATTGGGCCAGAAATGAAGTTGCTACACGCTTTCACCAGTATGAAGCTGTGCACCCACGAAAAGCAAGTACAGTAAAACCTGTGACTACCGACCACCCCTTGGTGCCAGCAAAAGCGGTCTTTAGTAGCAGGTGGTCTTTAGTTAGAGGTTTGCACCGCGCGACCATTATACCATTACCGTATTATCTCTAATATAAGCACGGTCCTTTATTTTTTCAATGTACCTCCGCCCCGTGCTATTAATGGAGACGTTCCTTTATTGGAGACTGTTCCATTATTATTTCAATCTCATTTCAGAGGCATGTTGCCATGCCAAATTCATGTATGACACACACATTTCAGGGTTTTTTTCGCCGGTACAGATAATGAATTTACACAGTGTGCTTATAATGGAGACTGAGCACTTTATTTTTTGAATGCTGCCCCAAGGTGTTCTATTATTGGAGACGTGCTATTATTGGAGACTGTGCTTATATTAGAGATAATACGGTATTTGATATGTATATCAAAAATGCAGCTAATACAATTCCCCAATGCCATTCTTATTCCCCCCCCCCCCCATCCCCCTGGTGCGCGTTGTGTGCAAGGATACCGAAACCTTTGATCGGAGGAGTCCACAACGCCCCACCTACACAGCTGCACTAATGGATACTAGTAGTCAGCCTCGACTCAATAGTTGTTTGTTTTGTCAACTTCTGTGTTCTAGTCGTCTCTTCGTTCTCCCTGCATGCAACTTTGTTATCTTTCTTGTGATTATTTTTTGTCTTGAGCCGGGTTTGTGTTCTTTGTCAAAAAAAGAAAGGAAAAAAAGGGGAGTAGCATTAGTCCCTGGCTTCCAACTATCTACCCATGATCAGCGTAGTGCACAGAGTGTTGACCGAGACGATCATAGAGTGCACACACCGAGGCTGAAAAACGTGCATTCACCTTGACAAGTTCCATAGTTGGTCCATGCGGCCGGTGTTGGATTGTCTCTGTCAGCACACTGGGCTTGGACAGGACCACTAGCCGTCTGAACGAATCCCGCATTGCACTGCACCGTGCCGTTGGACAGGATTCTAGCATTGGAGCTGCTTGGCGTTGTGCACACTGGATGAATACACGCACACGCACGCACACACACACACACACACACACACACACACACACACACACACACACACACGTGCATGCACACACACACACATGCACACACACACACACCAACATACACACACACACACATACACACACCAACATACACACACCAACATACACACACCAACATACACACACCAACATACACACACCAACATACCCACAAACACAGACACATACACCCACAAAACCCACAGACACACAGGCACACAACACAACAAACAGCACGGATGGACCATTGTGTGTATTGCGTGTAACCACCAGTCTACAAGCCACTCAAGTCGGCAAGTTGAAATTCGGCGAAAAACTTCAGATAAACCATGCATGGAGACGTGAGAAGATTGCCTCAAACCCAAAATAATATTTAACTTGAGTTTCTAGGAAAGGAGGACAGCTTGCGCTAGTCCCTTCAGCTTTCTGTTGACTTTCACAATACCGTATTTTCCAGAGTGTGAGGGGCACTTTGAACACTCAAAATTCAAAATTCAACCCCAAAAAGGAGAAATGCACTCGGATGGAGAGCCAAGGATCAATTTATACAAAAGAAAAAGGACCAAGGAACTACAAGTTACGCTATACTGTCCACTAACACCACTAGATACTAAATAATCAGCTCATGTGATAACATTGCACGACACTGACCGATGGTACTGACGTTCTACAACTAACTGGCTAACAGCCCTAGCACATCTTAGATGCGCATTCCAACAGCCTTCCAACTTGGAAGGTTCTAAGTAACAGAAATAACATAAGGAGGGGAAGGTGAGCGCAACCAAGATAAGCACGAGCTGAAAGTTTCAGCTATGAAGGACGTTGGCGGATGTTCATGCATGTCGATGACGATACTGGCAAGACCATTGGACAATAAGGTCAGACCAAGATTCAAGAATGTAAAGCAACATTCCACACAACTTGTCGGTCAGTGTCGTGCAAAGTTACCGCATGAGCTGATTATTTAGTAACTGGTAGTATTAGGGGACAGCATAGTATAACTTGTAGTTTCTTGGTCCAAAAAGGGGAGTGCAGCCTTTGCTCCGATGATCAATTTAACGGCGGTAACATAGGTTGGATATCTGTAAGTCGTGGTAAAAAATGGGGTGCGGCTTATACTCTGGAAAATAGTACGGTACTCAGGAAAGCGGTCAATTGTGAATTCCAAAGTGAAGACTCGATGCGTGGGCCCAGGGTACTGTTCCATAGTGCTGCGAACCCCAGAACACAATCTTGGGCGGTCTTGAGTGATTTGATCATGCTATTGTTCAAAATGCAACCGCCATCTCAGCCCTAATTCTTGCAACACAGCCAGTCCACTTACATACGCATGAACCAGTCCATTCCCAGCTTCCACTTCCAACGCCATTGCAAGAGGCAGGTGGCGACGAGGCCAATTTGAAGGCATTGTAGTCACAGGTAACAACACCAGAGCTTGAGACAATACTCTGGACGTTATCCAGATTGGAGTGTGAGCAAGCTGTGTGCACAGACAATAGCATACGTAAATGGAACACCAGCAGCAGCAGTCACACCAGCAGCAGCAACAGCAGCAGCAGGAACAGCAGTAACATCAGCAGCAGCAACACCAGCAGCAGCAGCAACACCAGCAGCAGCAGCAACACCAGCAGCAGCAGCAACACCAGCAGCAGCAGCAACACCAGCAGCAGCAGCAACACCAGCAGCAGCAGCAGCAACACCAGCAGCAGCAGCAGCAACACCAGCAGCAGCAGCAGCAACACCAGCAGCAGCAGCAACACCAGCAACACCAGCAGCAGCAGCAGCAGCAACACCAGTAGCAGCAGCAACACCAGCAGCAGCAGCAACACCAGCAGCAGCAGCAGCAACACCAGCAGCAGCAGCAGAAGCAACACTAGCAGCAGCAGCAGCAGCAGCAGCAGCAGCAACACCAGCAGCAGCAGCAACACCAGCAACACCAGCTTCACCTGCTTATGCAACCTGAATTCCACAGCATACTCCATTACCCTGATTCCCGGAATTCCTGACTATTTACTAATGGGATTTATGTACTAACCAGACTCATTATAGCCAGGGAGGGCCCGTACCTACCGTGAAGTACTGTTGATCAACCGCGTACTAACTTCTTGGATCTACTCACCTCCTGTCAGTGTAGGAGCTGCATCTGCGCTTTAGAACATTGCACGGTGGTGCATTCCTACGGGTGCTGAAAAATAATTCTAACCGAGTCGCAAGTGAACCGTGATTTTTTTCTTTTTTTTCCCTAGATCTATTGACTCGGACGTACGCGAGGTTATACAGGGAAACCCAGAGCATGGACTGCAGTGAAAGAGCAAGGGTCTCAATTATGCTACATTCATCTCCCAAGAAAATGAAAACATACCTTGACATGTGGGCACTGAATTGAAGTTTCCTCCTGCCGAAGTGCAGGTCCTTGCATACGCTGAGTTGGACAGGTAGAATCCTGAACTGCAAGTAACACTGTACATTGTGTGCTGTCCACCGAAACTATGACCGCTTCCATTTACGCTTCTACTATTGGCAACTGTTGGCAAAGTACATACAGCTGCACAAAACAACAAAAGTGGCATGCGGAAAAAAGGAGAAACCAGGTCTAGAGTGGAATTTTTTTTGGAACACATCACTTTTCCACAGAAAACAACAAAAACACTGTAAAATTCTATAGAGCCGTGCTCACAAGATCTGAAACAAGCTGTTCAAAAACAAAAGAGCGATGCGAAATCCTTCCTACCATCACAGCTGCCAACGTTTGTCCAAACATCCTGGCTGCCAGGTGCTCTGTCGTTACATTGAGCAGTGACAGCACCGCCAGTAGTTCCACTTGCTGTCTGGACATATCCACTGCTACACTGGACAATGCCAACATCACTGATCATACCTTGCAGGTTGGTTGGGTCTTTACACACTGAAAACAATGCAAAAACACAACATCATGGACAAACAAACATAAACATAAAAAAACCCACTTCCAGTTGTACTTGCTCACTTCCGGAAACTGGTCATCCGGCTCTCCCCACAACAGGGGGGAGAGAGATTCCGGCAAAAGGCATCTTGGAAAGATGACTCAATTGGCTACCGTCACAGCCCAACAAACGACACTGGGTGCGCCTTACACTCCTCATAAATACGCTTTATATGCTTCAGCAGCACACTGACCATTGCGATGCTACAACAGAAGCCATAGCAGCTTGTGCTGGGATTGCACCATTTGTTGTTATTGTTGTTGTATACTATATTTATAGTGGAAATCACCATTCAACAGCTTGCAAGGCTGAAGAATTGACCGCCACTATTCAGCCTGGTCTACACCACACAGCTATAAATGACTCTTTCTGGTTACTGAATCCCTACTTCTTGGTCTGATTTTTCCCACACACATCACACCACATACTCCAGCGTGCACTGGCTGTTGGTAACCACTCAGGAGAATGACAGCAAACTGACTGCAAACTGACAGCAAACTAACAGCAAACTAACAGCAAAGTGACAGCAAACTGACAGCAAACTGACCGCAAACTGACTGCAAACTGACCGCAAACTGACCGCAAACTGACACCCACACCCACACCCACACACTGACACACATACTGTAAAACCGAGTACAAACGCCGCGGCTTCTATGACTTTCCTGGGGAAAATTTGCAGGCTTCGATATGAGACAGGCGTCTACATGTATACAAGACCGGTATTTCTATGTATGTCACCAGGCCTATGTGCAGACAGTGTATCTTGAAAATCAGGCTCGTATTCAAGACAGGTTTCCATATGAGACCGGCTTTAATACAAGACACTACGGTATATGAGAAGAAGAAAAAAAATCCTTTCTCCGGATTCTGTTTACAAGAAACATCTAGACATCCTGCTTATATATTACACAGTGTTTAATTAGCATCTCCCTTACATGTGCATGAACCAACACTCCACTGCCATTTTCCATCTCCATCTCCAGCGCATCTGGCAACTGGTGATGAGTCCAATTTGAAGGCAGCAGTGCTACATGTTACTACACCAGTAATGGCATTGATCTCCTGAACGTTTCCAAGATTAGAGTGCGAGCAACCTGCATTCAAACAAGTATTCAAAATCACGTACACCACAGCAAGGATTACCATAGAAACAAGAACAAAAACAAAAACAAGAACCAGTGAAAAATACCAACACCATTGAGAATCACAAAGACAACGAGAGAAGCAACAGCAGTAGTGCAACACCAACAACAGCCATAGGGAATAGTACTACTAGTCACAGAGCACAGTCGCAGCAGTTAAAAAATCAATCGGACCAACAGCAACAGCAGCGGCAACATCACCACCAAAGACAGCAATGATTACCAGAACCACCACCACAACTACCACCATCACCACCTCCATAAACGGCATGCACAAAAACACCAACACCAGTCGCAACAACAATAGCAATTATAATGAAAACATACTTTGACATGTGGGCACTGAATTGAAGTCTCCTCCTGCCGAAGTGCAGGTCCTTGCATACGCTGAGTTGGACAGGTAGAATCCTGAACTGCAAGTAACACTGTACATTGTGTGCTGTCCACCGAAACTATGACCGCCTCCCTCTACGCTTCTACTATTGGCAACTGTTGGCAAAGTACATACAGCTGCACAAAACAACAACAGTGGCATGCGGAAAAAAAGGAGAAACCAGGTCTAAAGTGGAAAACAATTTGGAACACATCACTTTTCCACAGAAAACAACAAAAACACTGTAAAATTCTATAGAGCCGTGCTCACAAGATCCGAAACAAGCTGTTCAAAAACAAAAGAGCGATGCTAAAATCCGTCTTACCGTCACAGCTGCCAACGTTTGTCCAAACTGTCTGGCTGCAATTGGCTCTGTCGTTACTTTGAGCAGTGACAGCACCGCCAGTAGTTCCAGATTTTTGGAGTCTTAGGTACCTTAGGTTTCAAATTCTATCTTCATAATCTCTTGCAGCATTGCATTGAAACTTTTGGGAACACAAACCAACTCGCTTTGGATTGTAAAGAAAGTAGGGAAATGTCACTGGGACTAAGCACTCCAACAAAAATTGCAAAGCTAGGTTTTCCTAGAAAAAAGGTGATTTCTCACATGATTTCCAATGTAACGTTTTTTTACGAACATGGGTTTATGGGATCCTTTCATGGAAAGGAACAGGTCTACCAAATACAAACAGGGGTTCTCCATATTCGTTGAGACAATAAACACTACTAACGTAGGAAAAATGTCAATTCTTGTTCAAATTCAACAATCGAAGGGTCTTCAGTCCATTCAGAAAAAGCGCTGGCTCTGGAGAGGTCCCGTATTTGGCAATTTTTGTGCTACACTGTGCAGCGCCGCGAGATTCAAAACTTGAAAAAGGGTCCAAAAAAGGTACCTCAATTGGAGTTCGAACCGCAAATGTACTGTTATGCAAGTGGAGTGAACGGACTGGATTTTCATGGTTTTTCCCCAATTCAGTGCTTTGGGGGCAAAACCTAGCCGAAATCCTATTCTCATTATGGCTTGCTCTTTGGACAAAATCAATCCGGCCGTATTTATTTTCCGATTTGGGTATGTGCCACCCTAAGTCATGTATGAACCCGCAAAGGTGCAGGCAAATATTGTATTACATACCCACAGTATAATAAACTACAGCAGGAAGATATCGAAATTACCAGAAGGCCTCCACAGCATATGAAGGGCCTTATTCCCGTAGCTATGCAGAAGACGTTACTTCAGTAACGTCTGGCGCTAGCCAGGGTCCACACAGCTTTAATTTGGTGTTTGTTTGTTTGTTTGTGTGTTTGTGTGCTTGTGTCACGCCTGGCGCTATCCCGTATCTGTCCCGTACCGAACCGTACCATCAAACACAGCTGGCCACATACAGCTGGCCGCAATATTCAAATAGGGCTTTCAAACGCAAGAATGATCATAACGTGAAGCAACTTGGAAGAATGAGTATGAATGCGAAGTGTATGGGCGATAGTGCGGGTTCGAATCCCAGGTAATGCCTGAAAAAAAATAGGAGAATTGAAAAATTTATAACATCCCTTTTCTTTTTTTGCCGTCATCAAGGCGGTAGACGGTGTCGTATTACCCTCGACCGTACCTGTCCCGTACCGTACCGTACATTCAAAGATGGCTGGCCACAATGCATATTCAAATAGGGCTTTCAAATACAAGATCATAACGTGAAGCAACTTGGAAGAATTAGTATGTATGCGAAGTGTATTGGGGGATGCATGCAGGGCGATAGTGCGGATTCGAATCCCAGGTTATGTCTAAAAACAAAAAGTAGAAACTTATAAGAATTTATAACATCCCTATGCTTTTTTTGTCTAGGTCATCAAGGCAAAAATGCATAGCGTAGGGCCCTGAGCTTCCAAGCTCTCTCGTATAATATTTCCACTCACAACTGGAGCAAACGGCATTGGGCCAGAAATGAAGTTGCTACACGCTTTCACCAGTATGAAGCTGTGCACCCACGAAAAGCAAGTACAGTAAAACCTGTGACTACCGACCACCCCTTGGTGCCAGCAAAAGCGGTCTTTAGTAGCAGGTGGTCTTTAGTTAGAGGTTTGCACCGCGCGACCATTATACCATTACCGTATTATCTCTAATATAAGCACGGTCCTTTATTTTTCAATGTACCTCCGCCCCGTGCTATTAATGGAGACGTTCCTTTATTGGAGACTGTTCCATTATTATTTCAATCTCATTTCAGAGGCATGTTGCCATGCCAAATTCATGTATGACACACACATTTCAGGGTTTTTTTCGCCGGTACAGATAATGAATTTACACAGTGTGCTTATAATGGAGACTGAGCACTTTATTTTTTGAATGCTGCCCCAAGGTGTTCTATTATTGGAGACGTGCTATTATTGGAGACTGTGCTTACATTAGAGATAATACGGTATTTGATATGTATATCAAAATGCAGCTAATACAATTCCCCAATGCCATTCTTATTCCCCCCCCCCCCCCATCCCCCTGGTGCGCGTTGTGTGCAAGGATACCGAAACCTTTGATCGGAGGAGTCCACAACGCCCCACCTACACAGCTGCACTAATGGATACAAGTAGTCAGCCTCGACTCAATAGTTGTTTGTTTTGTCAACTTCTGTGTTCTAGTCGTCTCTTCGTTCTCCCTGCATGCAACTTTGTTATCTTTCTTGTGATTATTTTTTGTCTTGAGCCGGGTTTGTGTTCTTTGTCAAAAAAAGAAAGGAAAAAAGGGGGAGTAGCATTAGTCCCTGGCTTCCAACTATCTACCCATGATCAGCGTAGTGCACAGAGTGTTGACCGAGACGATCATAGAGTGCACACACCGAGGCTGAAAAACGTGCATTCACCTTGACAAGTTCCATAGTTGGTCCATGCGGCCGGTGTTGGATTGTCTCTGTCAGCACACTGGGCTTGGACAGGACCACTAGCCGTCTGAACGAATCCCGCATTGCACTGCACCGTGCCGTTGGACAGGATTCTAGCATTGGAGCTGCTTGGCGTTGTGCACACTGGATAAATACACGCACACGCACGCACACACACACACACACACACACACACACACACACACACACACGTGCACGCACACACACACACACATGCACACACACACACACATACACACACCAACATACACACACAAACATACACACACCAACATACACACACCAACATACACACACCAACATACACACAAACACAGACACATACACCCACAAAACCCACAGACACACAGGCACACAATACAACAAACAGCACGGATGGACCATTGTGTGTATTGCGTGTAACCACCAGTCTACAAGCCACTCAAGTCGGCAAGTTGAAATTCGGCGAAAAACTTCAGATAAACCATGCATGATGACGTGAGGAGATTGCCTCAAACCCAAAATAATATTTAACTTGAGGTTCTAGGAAAGGAGGACAGCTTGTGCTAGTCCCTTCAGCTTTCTGTTGACTTTCACAATACCGTATTTTCCAGAGTGTGAGGGGCACTTTGAACACTCAAAATTCAAAATTCAACCCCAAAAAGGAGAAATGCACTCGGATGGAGAGCCAAGGATCAATTTATACAAAAGAAAAAGGACCAAGGAACTACAAGTTACGCTATACTGTCCACTAACACCACTAGATACTAAATAATCAGCTCATGTGATAACATTGCACGACACTGACCGATGGTACTGACGTTCTACAACTAACTGGCTAACAGCCCTAGCACATCTTAGATGCGCATTCCAACAGCCTTCCAACTTGGAAGGTTCTAAGTAACAGAAATAACATAAGGAGGGGAAGGTGAGCGCAACCAAGATAAGCACGAGCTGAAAGTTTCAGCTATGAAGGACGTTGGCGGATGTTCATGCATGTCGATGACGATACTGGCAAGACCATTGGACAATAAGGTCAGACCAAGATTCAAGAATGTAAAGCAACATTCCACACAACTTGTCGGTCAGTGTCGTGCAAAGTTACCGCATGAGCTGATTATTTAGTAACTGGTGGTATTAGGGGACAGCATAGTATAACTTGTAGTTTCTTGGTCCAAAAAGTGCAGCCTTTGCTCCGATGATCAATTTAACGGCGGTAACATAGGTTGGATATCTGTAAGTCGTGGTAAAAAATGGGGTGCGGCTTATACTCTGGAAAATAGTACGGTACTCGGTAAAGCGGTCAATTGTGAATTCCAAAGTGAAGACTCGATGCGTGGGCCCAGGATACTGTTCCATAGTGCTGCGAACCCCAGAACACAATCTTGGGCGGTCTTGAGTGATTTGATCATGCTATTGTTCAAAATGCAACCGCCATCTCAGCCCTAATTCTTGCAACACAGCCAGTCCACTTACATACGCATGAACCAGTCCATTCCCAGCTTCCACTTCCAACGCCATTGCAAGAGGCAGGTGGCGACGAGGCCAATTTGAAGGCATTGTAGTCACAGGTAACAACACCAGAGCTTGAGACAATACTCTGGACGTTATCCAGATTGGAGTGTGAGCAAGCTGTGTGCACAGACAATAGCATACGTAAATGGAACACCAGCAGCAGCAGTCACACCAGCAGCAGCAACACCAGCAGCAGCAGCAGGAACAGCAGTAACATCAGCAGCAGCAGCAACACCAGCAGCAGCAGCAACACCAGCAGCAGCATCAACACCAGCAGCAGCAGCAACACCAGCAGCAGCAACACCAGCAGCAGCAGCAGCAACACCAGCAGCAGCAGCAACACCAGCAGCAGCAGCAGCAACACCAGCAGCAGCAGCAACACCAGCAACACCAGCAGCAGCAGCAGCAGCAACACCAGTAGCAGCAGCAACACCAGCAGCAGCAGCAACACCAGCAGCAGCAGCAGCAGCAACACCAGCAGCAGCAGCAACACCAGCAGGAGCAGCAGCAGCAGCAACACCAGCAGCAGCAGCAACACCAGCAACACCAGCTTCACCTGCTTATGCAACCTGAATTCCACAGCATACTCCATTACCCTGATTCCCGGAATTCCTGACTATTTACTAATGGGATTTATGTACTAACCAGACTCATTATAGCCAGGGAGGGCCCGTACCTACCGTGAAGTACTGTTGATCAACCGCGTACTAACTTCTTGGATCTACTCACCTCCTGTCAGTGTAGGAGCTGCATCTGCGCTTTAGAACATTGCACGGTGGTGCATTCCTACGGGTGCTGAAAAATAATTCTAACCGAGTCGCAAGTGAACCGTGATTTTTTTCTTTTTTTTCCCTAGATCTATTGACTCGGACGTACGCGAGGTTATACAGGGAAACTCAGAGCATGGACTGCAGTGAAAGAGCAAGGGTCTCAATTATGCTACATTCATCTCCCAAGAAAATGAAAACATACCTTGACATGTGGGCACTGAATTGAAGTTTCCTCCTGCCGAAGTGCAGGTCCTTGCATACGCTGAGTTGGACAGGTAGAATCCTGAACTGCAAGTAACACTGTACATTGTGTGCTGTCCACCGAAACTATGACCGCTTCCATTTACGCTTCTGCTATTGGCAACTGTTGGCAAAGTACATACAGCTGCACAAAACAACAAAAGTGGCATGCGGAAAAAAGGAGAAACCAGGTCTAGAGTGGAATTTTTTTTGGAACACATCACTTTTCCACAGAAAACAACAAAAACTCTGTAAAATTCTATAGAGCCGTGCTCACAAGATCCGAAACAAGCTGTTCAAAAACAAAAGAGCGATGCGAAATCCTTCTTACCATCACAGCTGCCAACGTTTGTCCAAACATCCTGGCTGCCAGGTGCTCTGTCGTTACATTGAGCAGTGACAGCACCGCCAGTAGTTCCACTTGCTGTCTGGACATATCCACTGCTACACTGGACAATGCCAACATCACTGATCGTACCTTGCAGGTTGGTTGGGTCTTTACACACTGAAAACAATGCAAAAACACAACATCATGGACAAACAAACATAAACATAAAAAAACCCACTTCCAGTTGTACTTGCTCACTTCCGGAAACTGGTCATCCGGCTCTCCCCACAACAGGGGGGAGAGAGATTCCGGCAAAAGGCATCTTGGAAAGATGACTCAATTGGCTACCGTCACAGCCCAACAAACGACACTGGGTGCGCCTTACACTCCTCATAAATACGCTTTATATGCTACAGCAGCACACTGACCATTGCGATGCTACAACAGAAGCCATAGCAGCTTGTGCTGGGATTGCACCATTTGTTGTTATTGTTGTTGTATACTATATTTATAGTGGAAATCACCATTCAACAGCTTGCAAGGCTGAAGAATTGACCGCCACTATTCAGCCTGGTCTACACCACACAGCTATCAAATGACTCTTTCTGGTTACTGAATCCCTACTTCTTGGTCTGATTTTTCCCACACACATCACACCACATACTCCAGCGTGCACTGGCTGTTGGTAACCACTCAGGAGAATGACAGCAAACTGACTGCAAACTGACAGCAAACTAACAGCAAACTAACAGCAAAGTGACAGCAAACTGACAGCAAACTGACCGCAAACTGACTGCAAACTGACCGCAAACTGACACCCACACCCACACCCACACACTGACACACATACTGTAAAACCGAGTACAAACGCCGCGGCTTCTATGACTTTCCTGGGGAAAATTTGCAGGCTTCGATATGAGACAGGCGTCTACATGTATACAAGACCGGTATTTCTATGTATGTCACCAGGCCTATGTGCAGACAGTGTATCTTGAAAATCAGGCTCGTATTCAAGACAGGTTTCCATATGAGACCGGCTTTAATACAAGACACTACGGTATATGAGAAGAAGAAAAAAATCCTTTCTCCGGATTCTGTTTACAAGAAACATCTAGACATCCTGCTTATATATTACACAGTGTTTAATTAGCATCTCCCTTACATGTGCATGAACCAACACTCCACTGCCATTTTCCATCTCCATCTCCAGCGCATCTGGCAACTGGTGATGAGTCCAATTTGAAGGCAGCAGTGCTACATGTTACTACACCAGTAATGGCATTGATCTCCTGAACGTTTCCAAGATTAGAGTGCGAGCAACCTGCATTCAAACAAGTATTCAAAATCACGTACACCACAGCAAGGATTACCATAGAAACAAGAACAAAAACAAAAACAAGAACCAGTGAAAAATACCAACACCATTGAGAATCACAAAGACAACGAGAGAAGCAACAGCAGTAGTGCAACACCAACAACAGCCATAGGGAATAGTACTACTAGTCACAGAGCACAGTCGCAGCAGTTAAAAAATCAATCGGACCAACAGCAACAGCAGCGGCAACATCACCACCAAAGACAGCAATGATTACCAGAACCACCACCACAACTACCACCATCACCACCTCCATAAACGGCATGCACAAAAACACCAACACCAGTCGCAACAACAATAGCAATTATAATGAAAACATACTTTGACATGTGGGCACTGAATTGAAGTCTCCTCCTGCCGAAGTGCAGGTCCTTGCATACGCTGAGTTGGACAGGTAGAATCCTGAACTGCAAGTAACACTGTACATTGTGTGCTGTCCACCGAAACTATGACCGCCTCCCTCTACGCTTCTACTATTGGCAACTGTTGGCAAAGTACATACAGCTGCACAAAACAACAACAGTGGCATGCGGAAAAAAAGGAGAAACCAGGTCTAAAGTGGAAAACAATTTGGAACACATCACTTTTCCACAGAAAACAACAAAAACACTGTAAAATTCTATAGAGCCGTGCTCACAAGATCCGAAACAAGCTGTTCAAAAACAAAAGAGCGATGCTAAAATCCGTCTTACCGTCACAGCTGCCAACGTTTGTCCAAACTGTCTGGCTGCAATTGGCTCTGTCGTTACTTTGAGCAGTGACAGCACCGCCAGTAGTTCCAGATTTTTGGAGTCTTAGGTACCTTAGGTGTAGTAGACGGACTTTCCCCTACACAAATCACTATGTATTACTATGTATTGCACTATGCATTGCTGACACCATCAGATCCCTTGCTTTCATTCTCTTAGGTTTCAAATTCTATCTTCATAATCTCTTGCAGCATTGCATTGAAACTTTTGGGAACACAAACCAACTCGCTTTGGATTGTAAAGAAAGTAGGGAAATGTCACTGGGACTAAGCACTCCAACAAAAATTGCAAAGCTAGGTTTTCCTAGAAAAAAGGAGAAAAAAGGTGATTTCTCACATGATTTCCAATGTAACGTTTTTTTACGAACATGGGTTTATGGGATCCTTTCATGGAAAGGAACAGGTCTGCCAAATACAAACAGGGGTTCTCCAGATTCGTTGAGACAATAAACACTACTAACGTAGGAAAAATGTCAATTCTTGTTCAAATTCAACAATCGAAGGGTCTTCAGTCCATTCAGAAAAAGCGCTGGCTCTGGAGAGGTCCCGTATTTGGCAATTTTTGTGCTACACTGTGCAGCGCCGCGAGATTCAAAACTTGAAAAAGGGTCCAAAAAAGGTACCTCGATTGGAGTTCGAACCGCAAATGTACTGTTATGCAAGTGGAGTGAACGGATTGGATTTTCATGGTTTTTCCCCAATTCAGTGCTTTGGGGGCAAAACCTAGCCGAAATCCTATTCTCATTATGGCTTGCTCTTTGGACAAAATCAATCCGGCCGTATTTATTTTCCGATTTGGGTATGTGCCACCATAAGTCATGTATGAACCCGCAAAGGTGCAGGCAAATATTGTATTACATACCCACAGTATAATAAACTACAGCAGGAAGATATCGAAATTACCAGAAGGCCTCCACAGCATATGAAGGGCCTTATTCCCGTAGCTATGCAGAAGACGTTACTTCAGTAACGTCTGGCGCTAGCCAGGGTCCACACAGCTTTAATTTGGTGTTTGTTTGTTTGTTTGTGTGTTTGTGTGCTTGTGTCACGCCTGGCGCTATCCCGTATCTGTCCCGTACCGAACCGTACCATCAAACACAGCTGGCCACATACAGCTGGCCGCAATATTCAAATAGGGCTTTCAAACGCAAGAATGATCATAACGTGAAGCAACTTGGAAGAATGAGTATGAATGCGAAGTGTATGGGCGATAGTGCGGGTTCGAATCCCAGGTAATGCCTGAAAAAAAATAGGAGAATTGAAAAATTTATAACATCCCTTTTCTTTTTTTGCCGTCATCAAGGCGGTAGACGGTGTCGTATTACCCTCGACCGTACCTGTCCCGTACCGTACCGTACATTCAAAGATGGCTGGCCACAATGCATATTCAAATAGGGCTTTCAAATACAAGATCATAACGTGAAGCAACTTGGAAGAATTAGTATGTATGCGAAGTGTATTGGGGGATGCATGCAGGGCGATAGTGCGGATTCGAATCCCAGGTTATGTCTAAAAACAAAAAGTAGAAACTTATAAGAATTTATAACATCCCTATGCTTTTTTTGTCTAGGTCATCAAGGCAAAAATGCATAGCGTAGGGCCCTGAGCTTCCAAGCTCTCTCGTATAATATTTCCACTCACAACTGGAGCAAACGGCATTGGGCCAGAAATGAAGTTGCTACACGCTTTCACCAGTATGAAGCTGTGCACCCACGAAAAGCAAGTACAGTAAAACCTGTGACTACCGACCACCCCTTGGTGCCAGCAAAAGCGGTCTTTAGTAGCAGGTGGTCTTTAGTTAGAGGTTTGCACCGCGCGACCATTATACCATTACCGTATTATCTCTAATATAAGCACGGTCCTTTATTTTTTCAATGTACCTCCGCCCCGTGCTATTAATGGAGACGTTCCTTTATTGGAGACTGTTCCATTATTATTTCAATCTCATTTCAGAGGCATGTTGCCATGCCAAATTCATGTATGACACACACATTTCAGGGTTTTTTTCGCCGGTACAGATAATGAATTTACACAGTGTGCTTATAATGGAGACTGAGCACTTTATTTTTTGAATGCTGCCCCAAGGTGTTCTATTATTGGAGACGTGCTATTATTGGAGACTGTGCTTATATTAGAGATAATACGGTATTTGATATGTATATCAAAAATGCAGCTAATACAATTCCCCAATGCCATTCTTATTCCCCCCCCCCCCCCCCATCCCCCTGGTGCGCGTTGTGTGCAAGGATACCGAAACCTTTGATCGGAGGAGTCCACAACGCCCCACCTACACAGCTGCACTAATGGATACTAGTAGTCAGCCTCGACTCAATAGTTGTTTGTTTTGTCAACTTCTGTGTTCTAGTCGTCTCTTCGTTCTCCCTGCATGCAACTTTGTTATCTTTCTTGTGATTATTTTTTGTCTTGAGCCGGGTTTGTGTTCTTTGTCAAAAAAAAGAAAGGAAAAAAGGGGGAGTAGCATTAGTCCCTGGCTTCCAACTATCTACCCATGATCAGCGTAGTGCACAGAGTGTTGACCGAGACGATCATAGAGTGCACACACCGAGGCTGAAAAACGTGCATTCACCTTGACAAGTTCCATAGTTGGTCCATGCGGCCGGTGTTGGATTGTCTCTGTCAGCACACTGGGCTTGGACAGGACCACTAGCCGTCTGAACGAATCCCGCATTGCACTGCACCGTGCCGTTGGACAGGATTCTAGCATTGGAGCTGCTTGGCGTTGTGCACACTGGATGAATACACGCACACGCACGCACACACACACACACACACACACACACACACACACACGTGCACGCACACACACACACATGCACACACACACACACCAACATACACACACACACATACACACACCAACATACACACACAAACATACACACACCAACATACACACACCAACATACACACACCAACATACACACACCAACATACCCACAAACACAGACACATACACCCACAAAACCCACAGACACACAGGCACACAACACAACAAACAGCACGGATGGACCATTGTGTGTATTGCGTGTAACCACCAGTCTACAAGCCACTCAAGTCGGCAAGTTGAAATTCGGCGAAAAACTTCAGATAAACCATGCATGGAGACGTGAGAAGATTGCCTCAAACCCAAAATAATATTTAACTTGAGTTTCTAGGAAAGGAGGACAGCTTGCGCTAGTCCCTTCAGCTTTCTGTTGACTTTCACAATACCGTATTTTCCAGAGTGTGAGGGGCACTTTGAACACTCAAAATTCAAAATTCAACCCCAAAAAGGAGAAATGCACTCGGATGGAGAGCCAAGGATCAATTTATACAAAAGAAAAAGGACCAAGGAACTACAAGTTACGCTATACTGTCCACTAACACCACTAGATACTAAATAATCAGCTCATGTGATAACATTGCACGACACTGACCGATGGTACTGACGTTCTACAACTAACTGGCTAACAGCCCTAGCACATCTTAGATGCGCATTCCAACAGCCTTCCAACTTGGAAGGTTCTAAGTAACAGAAATAACATAAGGAGGGGAAGGTGAGCGCAACCAAGATAAGCACGAGCTGAAAGTTTCAGCTATGAAGGACGTTGGCGGATGTTCATGCATGTCGATGACGATACTGGCAAGACCATTGGACAATAAGGTCAGACCAAGATTCAAGAATGTAAAGCAACATTCCACACAACTTGTCGGTCAGTGTCGTGCAAAGTTACCGCATGAGCTGATTATTTAGTAACTGGTAGTATTAGGGGACAGCATAGTATAACTTGTAGTTTCTTGGTCCAAAAAGGGGAGTGCAGCCTTTGCTCCGATGATCAATTTAACGGCGGTAACATAGGTTGGATATCTGTAAGTCGTGGTAAAAAATGGGGTGCGGCTTATACTCTGGAAAATAGTACGGTACTCGGGAAAGCGGTCAATTGTGAATTCCAAAGTGAAGACTCGATGCGTGGGCCCAGGGTACTGTTCCATAGTGCTGCGAACCCCAGAACACAATCTTGGGCGGTCTTGAGTGATTTGATCATGCTATTGTTCAAAATGCAACCGCCATCTCAGCCCTAATTCTTGCAACACAGCCAGTCCACTTACATACGCATGAACCAGTCCATTCCCAGCTTCCACTTCCAACGCCATTGCAAGAGGCAGGTGGCGACGAGGCCAATTTGAAGGCATTGTAGTCACAGGTAACAACACCAGAGCTTGAGACAATACTCTGGACGTTATCCAGATTGGAGTGTGAGCAAGCTGTGTGCACAGACAATAGCATACGTAAATGGAACACCAGCAGCAGCAGTCACACCAGCAGCAGCAACAGCAGCAGCAGGAACAGCAGTAACATCAGCAGCAGCAACACCAGCAGCAGCAGCAACACCAGCAGCAGCAGCAACACCAGCAGCAGCAGCAACACCAGCAGCAGCAGCAACACCAGCAGCAGCAGCAGCAACACCAGCAGCAGCAGCAGCAACACCAGCAGCAGCAGCAGCAGCAACACCAGCAGCAGCAGCAACACCAGCAACACCAGCAGCAGCAGCAGCAGCAACAGCAGCAACACCAGTAGCAGCAGCAAAACCAGCAGCAGCAGCAACACCAGCAGCAGCAGCAGCAACACCAGCAGCAGCAGCAGAAGCAACACTAGCAGCAGCAGCAGCAGCAGCAACACCAGCAGCAGCAGCAACACCAGCAACACCAGCTTCACCTGCTTATGCAACCTGAATTCCACAGCATACTCCATTACCCTGATTCCCGGAATTCCTGACTATTTACTAATGGGATTTATGTACTAACCAGACTCATTATAGCCAGGGAGGGCCCGTACCTACCGTGAAGTACTGTTGATCAACCGCGTACTAACTTCTTGGATCTACTCACCTCCTGTCAGTGTAGGAGCTGCATCTGCGCTTTAGAACATTGCACGGTGGTGCATTCCTACGGGTGCTGAAAAATAATTCTAACCGAGTCGCAAGTGAACCGTGATTTTTTTCTTTTTTTTCCCTAGATCTATTGACTCGGACGTACGCGAGGTTATACAGGGAAACCCAGAGCATGGACTGCAGTGAAAGAGCAAGGGTCTCAATTATGCTACATTCATCTCCCAAGAAAATGAAAACATACCTTGACATGTGGGCACTGAATTGAAGTTTCCTCCTGCCGAAGTGCAGGTCCTTGCATACGCTGAGTTGGACAGGTAGAATCCTGAACTGCAAGTAACACTGTACATTGTGTGCTGTCCACCGAAACTATGACCGCTTCCATTTACGCTTCTACTATTGGCAACTGTTGGCAAAGTACATACAGCTGCACAAAACAACAAAAGTGGCATGCGGAAAAAAGGAGAAACCAGGTCTAGAGTGGAATTTTTTTTGGAACACATCACTTTTCCACAGAAAACAACAAAAACACTGTAAAATTCTATAGAGCCGTGCTCACAAGATCTGAAACAAGCTGTTCAAAAACAAAAGAGCGATGCGAAATCCTTCCTACCATCACAGCTGCCAACGTTTGTCCAAACATCCTGGCTGCCAGGTGCTCTGTCGTTACATTGAGCAGTGACAGCACCGCCAGTAGTTCCACTTGCTGTCTGGACATATCCACTGCTACACTGGACAATGCCAACATCACTGATCATACCTTGCAGGTTGGTTGGGTCTTTACACACTGAAAACAATGCAAAAACACAACATCATGGACAAACAAACATAAACATAAAAAAACCCACTTCCAGTTGTACTTGCTCACTTCCGGAAACTGGTCATCCGGCTCTCCCCACAACAGGGGGGAGAGAGATTCCGGCAAAAGGCATCTTGGAAAGATGACTCAATTGGCTACCGTCACAGCCCAACAAACGACACTGGGTGCGCCTTACACTCCTCATAAATACGCTTTATATGCTTCAGCAGCACACTGACCATTGCGATGCTACAACAGAAGCCATAGCAGCTTGTGCTGGGATTGCACCATTTGTTGTTATTGTTGTTGTATACTATATTTATAGTGGAAATCACCATTCAACAGCTTGCAAGGCTGAAGAATTGACCGCCACTATTCAGCCTGGTCTACACCACACAGCTATAAATGACTCTTTCTGGTTACTGAATCCCTACTTCTTGGTCTGATTTTTCCCACACACATCACACCACATACTCCAGCGTGCACTGGCTGTTGGTAACCACTCAGGAGAATGACAGCAAACTGACTGCAAACTGACAGCAAACTAACAGCAAACTAACAGCAAAGTGACAGCAAACTGACAGCAAACTGACCGCAAACTGACTGCAAACTGACCGCAAACTGACACCCACACCCACACCCACACACTGACACACATACTGTAAAACCGAGTACAAACGCCGCGGCTTCTATGACTTTCCTGGGGAAAATTTGCAGGCTTCGATATGAGACAGGCGTCTACATGTATACAAGACCGGTATTTCTATGTATGTCACCAGGCCTATGTGCAGACAGTGTATCTTGAAAATCAGGCTCGTATTCAAGACAGGTTTCCATATGAGACCGGCTTTAATACAAGACACTACGGTATATGAGAAGAAGAAAAAAAATCCTTTCTCCGGATTCTGTTTACAAGAAACATCTAGACATCCTGCTTATATATTACACAGTGTTTAATTAGCATCTCCCTTACATGTGCATGAACCAACACTCCACTGCCATTTTCCATCTCCATCTCCAGCGCATCTGGCAACTGGTGATGAGTCCAATTTGAAGGCAGCAGTGCTACATGTTACTACACCAGTAATGGCATTGATCTCCTGAACGTTTCCAAGATTAGAGTGCGAGCAACCTGCATTCAAACAAGTATTCAAAATCACGTACACCACAGCAAGGATTACCATAGAAACAAGAACAAAAACAAAAACAAGAACCAGTGAAAAATACCAACACCATTGAGAATCACAAAGACAACGAGAGAAGCAACAGCAGTAGTGCAACACCAACAACAGCCATAGGGAATAGTACTACTAGTCACAGAGCACAGTCGCAGCAGTTAAAAAATCAATCGGACCAACAGCAACAGCAGCGGCAACATCACCACCAAAGACAGCAATGATTACCAGAACCACCACCACAACTACCACCATCACCACCTCCATAAACGGCATGCACAAAAACACCAACACCAGTCGCAACAACAATAGCAATTATAATGAAAACATACTTTGACATGTGGGCACTGAATTGAAGTCTCCTCCTGCCGAAGTGCAGGTCCTTGCATACGCTGAGTTGGACAGGTAGAATCCTGAACTGCAAGTAACACTGTACATTGTGTGCTGTCCACCGAAACTATGACCGCCTCCCTCTACGCTTCTACTATTGGCAACTGTTGGCAAAGTACATACAGCTGCACAAAACAACAACAGTGGCATGCGGAAAAAAAAGGAGAAACCAGGTCTAAAGTGGAAAACAATTTGGAACACATCACTTTTCCACAGAAAACAACAAAAACACTGTAAAATTCTATAGAGCCGTGCTCACAAGATCCGAAACAAGCTGTTCAAAAACAAAAGAGCGATGCTAAAATCCGTCTTACCGTCACAGCTGCCAACGTTTGTCCAAACTGTCTGGCTGCAATTGGCTCTGTCGTTACTTTGAGCAGTGACAGCACCGCCAGTAGTTCCAGATTTTTGGAGTCTTAGGTACCTTAGGTTTCAAATTCTATCTTCATAATCTCTTGCAGCATTGCATTGAAACTTTTGGGAACACAAACCAACTCGCTTTGGATTGTAAAGAAAGTAGGGAAATGTCACTGGGACTAAGCACTCCAACAAAAATTGCAAAGCTAGGTTTTCCTAGAAAAAAGGTGATTTCTCACATGATTTCCAATGTAACGTTTTTTTACGAACATGGGTTTATGGGATCCTTTCATGGAAAGGAACAGGTCTGCCAAATACAAACAGGGGTTCTCCATATTCGTTGAGACAATAAACACTACTAACGTAGGAAAAATGTCAATTCTTGTTCAAATTCAACAATCGAAGGGTCTTCAGTCCATTCAGAAAAAGCGCTGGCTCTGGAGAGGTCCCGTATTTGGCAATTTTTGTGCTACACTGTGCAGCGCCGCGAGATTCAAAACTTGAAAAAGGGTCCAAAAAAGGTACCTCAATTGGAGTTCGAACCGCAAATGTACTGTTATGCAAGTGGAGTGAACGGACTGGATTTTCATGGTTTTTCCCCAATTCAGTGCTTTGGGGGCAAAACCTAGCCGAAATCCTATTCTCATTATGGCTTGCTCTTTGGACAAAATCAATCCGGCCGTATTTATTTTCCGATTTGGGTATGTGCCACCCTAAGTCATGTATGAACCCGCAAAGGTGCAGGCAAATATTGTATTACATACCCACAGTATAATAAACTACAGCAGGAAGATATCGAAATTACCAGAAGGCCTCCACAGCATATGAAGGGCCTTATTCCCGTAGCTATGCAGAAGACGTTACTTCAGTAACGTCTGGCGCTAGCCAGGGTCCACACAGCTTTAATTTGGTGTTTGTTTGTTTGTTTGTGTGTTTGTGTGCTTGTGTCACGCCTGGCGCTATCCCGTATCTGTCCCGTACCGAACCGTACCATCAAACACAGCTGGCCACATACAGCTGGCCGCAATATTCAAATAGGGCTTTCAAACGCAAGAATGATCATAACGTGAAGCAACTTGGAAGAATGAGTATGAATGCGAAGTGTATGGGCAATAGTGCGGGTTCGAATCCCAGGTAATGCCTGAAAAAAAATAGGAGAATTGAAAAATTTATAACATCCCTTTTCTTTTTTTGCCGTCATCAAGGCGGTAGACGGTGTCGTATTACCCTCGACCGTACCTGTCCCGTACCGTACCGTACATTCAAAGATGGCTGGCCACAATGCATATTCAAATAGGGCTTTCAAATACAAGATCATAACGTGAAGCAACTTGGAAGAATTAGTATGTATGCGAAGTGTATTGGGGGATGCATGCAGGGCGATAGTGCGGATTCGAATCCCAGGTTATGTCTAAAAACAAAAAGTAGAAACTTATAAGAATTTATAACATCCCTATGCTTTTTTTGTCTAGGTCATCAAGGCAAAAATGCATAGCGTAGGGCCCTGAGCTTCCAAGCTCTCTCGTATAATATTTCCACTCACAACTGGAGCAAACGGCATTGGGCCAGAAATGAAGTTGCTACACGCTTTCACCAGTATGAAGCTGTGCACCCACGAAAAGCAAGTACAGTAAAACCTGTGACTACCGACCACCCCTTGTTGCCAGCAAAAGCGGTCTTTAGTAGCAGGTGGTCTTTAGTTAGAGGTTTGCACTGCGCGACCATTATACCATTACCGTATTATCTCTAATATAAGCACGGTCCTTTATTTTTTCAATGTACCTCCGCCCCGTGCTATTAATGGAGACGTTCCTTTATTGGAGACTGTTCCATTATTATTTCAATCTCATTTCAGAGGCATGTTGCCATGCCAAATTCATGTATGACACACACATTTCAGGGTTTTTTTCGCCGGTACAGATAATGAATTTACACAGTGTGCTTATAATGGAGACTGAGCACTTTTTTTTTTGAATGCTGCCCCAAGGTGTTCTATTATTAGAGACGTGCTATTATTGGAGACTGTGCTTACATTAGAGATAATACGGTATTTGATATGTATATCAAAATGCAGCTAATACAATTCCCCAATGCCATTCTTATTCCCCCCCCCCCCATCCCCCTGGTGCGCGTTGTGTGCAAGGATACCGAAACCTTTGATCGGAGGAGTCCACAACGCCCCACCTACACAGCTGCACTAATGGATACAAGTAGTCAGCCTCGACTCAATAGTTGTTTGTTTTGTCAACTTCTGTGTTCTAGTCGTCTCTTCGTTCTCCCTGCATGCAACTTTGTTATCTTTCTTGTGATTATTTTTTGTCTTGAGCCGGGTTTGTGTTCTTTGTCAAAAAAAAGAAAGGAAAAAAGGGGGAGTAGCATTAGTCCCTGGCTTCCAACTATCTACCCATGATCAGCGTAGTGCACAGAGTGTTGACCGAGACGATCATAGAGTGCACACACCGAGGCTGAACAACGTGCATTCACCTTGACAAGTTCCATAGTTGGTCCATGCGGCCGGTGTTGGATTGTCTCTGTCAGCACACTGGGCTTGGACAGGACCACTAGCCGTCTGAACGAATCCCGCATTGCACTGCACCGTGCCGTTGGACAGGATTCTAGCATTGGAGCTGCTTGGCGTTGTGCACACTGGATGAATACACGCACACGCACGCACACACACACACACACACGTGCACGCACACACACACACACACATGCACACACACACACACACACACACCAACATACACACACAAACATACACACACAAACATACACACACAAACATACACACACCAACATACACACACCAACATACACACACCAACATACACACACCAACATACACACAAACACAGACACATACACCCACAAAACCCACAGACACACAGGCACACAGCACAACAAACAGCACGGATGGACCATTGTGTGTATTGCGTGTAACCACCAGTCTACAAGCCACTCAAGTCGGCAAGTTGAAATTCGGCGAAAAACTTCAGATAAACCATGCATGGAGACGTGAGGAGATTGCCTCAAACCCAAAATAATATTTAACTTGAGGTTCTAGGAAAGGAGGACAGCTTGCGCTAGTCCCTTCAGCTTTCTGTTGACTTTCACAATACCGTATTTTCCAGAGTGTGAGGGGCACTTTGAACACTCAAAATTCAAAATTCAACCCCAAAAAGGAGAAATGCACTCGGATGGAGAGCCAAGGATCAATTTATACAAAAGAAAAAGGACCAAGGAACTACAAGTTACGCTATACTGTCCACTAACACCACTAGATACTAAATAATCAGCTCATGTGATAACATTGCACGACACTGACCGATGGTACTGACGTTCTACAACTAACTGGCTAACAGCCCTAGCACATCTTAGATGCGCATTCCAACAGCCTTCCAACTTGGAAGGTTCTAAGTAACAGAAATAACATAAGGAGGGGAAGGTGAGCGCAACCAAGATAAGCACGAGCTGAAAGTTTCAGCTATGAAGGACGTTGGCGGATGTTCATGCATGTCGATGACGATACTGGCAAGACCATTGGACAATAAGGTCAGACCAAGATTCAAGAATGTAAAGCAACATTCCACACAACTTGTCGGTCAGTGTCGTGCAAAGTTACCGCATGAGCTGATTATTTAGTAACTGGTGGTATTAGGGGACAGCATAGTATAACTTGTAGTTTCTTGGTCCAAAAAGGGGAGTGCAGCCTTTGCTCCGATGATCAATTTAACGGCGGTAACATAGGTTGGATATCTGTAAGTCGTGGTAAAAAATGGGGTGCGGCTTATACTCTGGAAAATAGTACGGTACTCGGGAAAGCGGTCAATTGTGAATTCCAAAGTGAAGACTCGATGCGTGGGCCCAGGGTACTGTTCCATAGTGCTGCGAACCCCAGAACACAATCTTGGGCGGTCATGAGTGATTTGATCATGCTATTGTTCAAAATGCAACCGCCATCTCAGCCCTAATTCTTGCAACACAGCCAGTCCACTTACATACGCATGAACCAGTCCATTCCCAGCTTCCACTTCCAACGCCATTGCAAGAGGCAGGTGGCGACGAGGCCAATTTGAAGGCATTGTAGTCACAGGTAACAACACCAGAGCTTGAGACAATACTCTGGACGTTATCCAGATTGGAGTGTGAGCAAGCTGTGTGCACAGACAATAGCATACGTAAATGGAACACCAGCAGCAGCAGTCACACCAGCAGCAGCAGTCACACCAGCAGCAGCAGCAGCAGCAGGAACAGCAGTAACATCAGCAGCAGCAACACCAGCAGCAGCAGCAACACCAGCAGCAGCAGCAACACCAGCAGCAGCAGCAACACCAGCAGCAGCAACACCAGCAGCAGCAGCAGCAACACCAGCAGCAGCAGCAGCAACACCAACATCACCACCAAAGACAGCAATGATTACCAGAACCACCACCACAACTACCACCATCACCACCTCCATAAACGGCATGCACAAAAACACCAACACCAGTCGCAACAACAATAGCAATTATAATGAAAACATACTTTGACATGTGGGCACTGAATTGAAGTCTCCTCCTGCCGAAGTGCAGGTCCTTGCATACGCTGAGTTGGACAGGTAGAATCCTGAACTGCAAGTAACACTGTACATTGTGTGCTGTCCACCGAAACTATGACCGCCTCCCTCTACGCTTCTACTATTGGCAACTGTTGGCAAAGTACATACAGCTGCACAAAACAACAACAGTGGCATGCGGAAAAAAAGGAGAAACCAGGTCTAAAGTGGAAAACAATTTGGAACACATCACTTTTCCACAGAAAACAACAAAAACACTGTAAAATTCTATAGAGCCGTGCTCACAAGATCCGAAACAAGCTGTTCAAAAACAAAAGAGCGATGCTAAAATCCGTCTTACCGTCACAGCTGCCAACGTTTGTCCAAACTGTCTGGCTGCAATTGGCTCTGTCGTTACTTTGAGCAGTGACAGCACCGCCAGTAGTTCCAGATTTTTGGAGTCTTAGGTACCTTAGGTGTAGTAGACGGACTTTCCCCTACACAAATCACTATGTATTACTATGTATTGCACTATGCATTGCTGACACCATCAGATCCCTTGCTTTCATTCTCTTAGGTTTCAAATTCTATCTTCATAATCTCTTGCAGCATTGCATTGAAACTTTTGGGAACACAAACCAACTCGCTTTGGATTGTAAAGAAAGTAGGGAAATGTCACTGGGACTAAGCACTCCAACAAAAATTGCAAAGCTAGGTTTTCCTAGAAAAAAGGAGAAAAAAGGTGATTTCTCACATGATTTCCAATGTAACGTTTTTTTACGAACATGGGTTTATGGGATCCTTTCATGGAAAGGAACAGGTCTGCCAAATACAAACAGGGGTTCTCCATATTCGTTGAGTCTGGCTGCAATTGGCTCTGTCGTTACTTTGAGCAGTGACAGCACCGCCAGTAGTTCCAGATTTTTGGAGTCTTAGGTACCTTAGGTTTCAAATTCTATCTTCATAATCTCTTGCAGCATTGCATTGAAACTTTTGGGAACACAAACCAACTCGCTTTGGATTGTAAAGAAAGTAGGGAAATGTCACTGGGACTAAGCACTCCAACAAAAATTGCAAAGCTAGGTTTTCCTAGAAAAAAGGAGAAAAAAGGTGATTTCTCACATGATTTCCAATGTAACGTTTTTTTACGAACATGGGTTTATGGGATCCTTTCATGGAAAGGAACAGGTCTGCCAAATACAAACAGGGGTTCTCCATATTCGTTGAGTCTGGCTGCAATTGGCTCTGTCGTTACTTTTCTCTGTCGTTACTTTTTTCCTAGAAAAAAGGTGATTTCTCACATGATTTCCAATGTAACGTTTTTTTACGAACATGGGTTTATGGGATCCTTTCATGGAAAGGAACAGGTCTGCCAAATACAAACAGGGGTTCTCCATATTCGTTGAGACAATAAACACTACTAACGTAGGAAAAATGTCAATTCTTGTTCAAATTCAACAATCGAAGGGTCTTCAGTCCATTCAGAAAAAGCGCTGGCTCTGGAGAGGTCCCGTATTTGGCAATTTTTGTGCTACACTGTGCAGCGCCGCGAGATTCAAAACTTGAAAAAGGGTCCAAAAAAGGTACCTCGATTGGAGTTCGAACCGCAAATGTACTGTTATGCAAGTGGAGTGAACGGACTGGATTTTCATGGTTTTTCCCCAATTCAGTGCTTTGGGGGCAAAACCTAGCCGAAATCCTATTCTCATTATGGCTTGCTCTTTGGACAAAATCAATCCGGCCGTATTTATTTTCCGATTTGGGTATGTGCCACCCTAAGTCATGTATGAACCCGCAAAGGTGCAGGCAAATATTGTATTACATACCCACAGTATAATAAACTACAGCAGGAAGATATCGAAATTACCAGAAGGCCTCCACAGCATATGAAGGGCCTTATTCCCGTAGCTATGCAGAAGACGTTACTTCAGTAACGTCTGGCGCTAGCCAGGGTCCACACAGCTTTAATTTGGTGTTTGTTTGTTTGTTTGTGTGTTTGTGTGTTTGTGTCACGCCTGGCGCTATCCCGTATCTGTCCCGTACCGAACCGTACCATCAAACACAGCTGGCCACATACAGCTGGCCGCAATATTCAAATAGGGCTTTCAAACGCAAGAATGATCATAACGTGAAGCAACTTGGAAGAATGAGTATGAATGCGAAGTGTATGGGCGATAGTGCGGGTTCGAATCCCAGGTAATGCCTGAAAAAAAATAGGAGAATTGAAAAATTTATAACATCCCTTTTCTTTTTTTGCCGTCATCAAGGCGGTAGACGGTGTCGTATTACCCTCGATCGTACCTGTCCCGTACCGTACCGTACATTCAAAGATGGCTGGCCACAATGCATATTCAAATAGGGCTTTCAAATACAAGATCATAACGTGAAGCAACTTGGAAGAATTAGTATGTATGCGAAGTGTATTGGGGGATGCATGCAGGGCGATAGTGCGGATTCGAATCCCAGGTTATGTCTAAAAACAAAAAGTAGAAACTTATAAGAATTTATAACATCCCTATGCTTTTTTTGTCTAGGTCATCAAGGCAAAAATGCATAGCGTAGGGCCCTGAGCTTCCAAGCTCTCTCGTATAATATTTCCACTCACAACTGGAGCAAACGGCATTGGGCCAGAAATGAAGTTGCTACACGCTTTCACCAGTATGAAGCTGTGCACCCACGAAAAGCAAGTACAGTAAAACCTGTGACTACCGACCACCCCTTGGTGCCAGCAAAAGCGGTCTTTAGTAGCAGGTGGTCTTTAGTTAGAGGTTTGCACCGCGCGACCATTATACCATTACCGTATTATCTCTAATATAAGCACGGTCCTTTATTTTTTCAATGTACCTCCGCCCCGTGCTATTAATGGAGACGTTCCTTTATTGGAGACTGTTCCATTATTATTTCAATCTCATTTCAGAGGCATGTTGCCATGCCAAATTCATGTATGACACACACATTTCAGGGTTTTTTTCGCCGGTACAGATAATGAATTTACACAGTGTGCTTATAATGGAGACTGAGCACTTTATTTTTTGAATGCTGCCCCAAGGTGTTCTATTATTGGAGACGTGCTATTATTGGAGACTGTGCTTACATTAGAGATAATACGGTATTTGATATGTATATCAAAATGCAGCTAATACAATTCCCCAATGCCATTCTTATTCCCCCCCCCCATCCCCCTGGTGCGCGTTGTGTGCAAGGATACCGAAACCTTTGATCGGAGGAGTCCACAACGCCCCACCTACACAGCTGCACTAATGGATACAAGTAGTCAGCCTCGACTCAATAGTTGTTTGTTTTGTCAACTTCTGTGTTCTAGTCGTCTCTTCGTTCTCCCTGCATGCAACTTTGTTATTTTTCTTGTGATTATTTTTTGTCTTGAGCCGGGTTTGTGTTCTTTGTCAAAAAAAAAGAAAGGAAAAAAGGGGGAGTAGCATTAGTCCCTGGCTTCCAACTATCTACCCATGATCAGCGTAGTGCACAGAGTGTTGACCGAGACGATCATAGAGTGCACACACCGAGGCTGAAAAACGTGCATTCACCTTGACAAGTTCCATAGTTGGTCCATGCGGCCGGTGTTGGATTGTCTCTGTCAGCACACTGGGCTTGGACAGGACCACTAGCCGTCTGAACGAATCCCGCATTGCACTGCACCGTGCCGTTGGACAGGATTCTAGCATTGGAGCTGCTTGGCGTTGTGCACACTGGATGAATACACGCACACGCACGCACACACACACACACACACACACACACACACGTGCACGCACACACACACACACATGCACACACACACACACACACACCAACATACACACACAAACATACACACACCAACATACACACACAAACATACACACACAAACATACACACACAAACATACACACACAAACATACACACACCAACATACACACACCAACATACACACACCAACATACACACACCAACATACACACACCAACATACACACACCAACATACACACAAACACAGACACATACACCCACAAAACCCACAGACACACAGGCACACAATACAACAAACAGCACGGATGGACCATTGTGTGTATTGCGTGTAACCACCAGTCTACAAGCCACTCAAGTCGGCAAGTTGAAATTCGGCGAAAAACTTCAGATAAACCATGCATGGAGACGTGAGGAGATTGCCTCAAACTCAAAATAATATTTAACTTGAGGTTCTAGGAAAGGAGGACAGCTTGTGCTAGTCCCTTCAGCTTTCTGTTGACTTTCACAATACCGTATTTTCCAGAGTGTGAGGGGCACTTTGAACACTCAAAATTCAAAATTCAACCCCAAAAAGGAGAAATGCACTCGGATGGAGAGCCAAGGATCAATTTATACAAAAGAAAAAGGACCAAGGAACTACAAGTTACGCTATACTGTCCACTAACACCACTAGATACTAAATAATCAGCTCATGTGATAACATTGCACGACACTGACCGATGGTACTGACGTTCTACAACTAACTGGCTAACAGCCCTAGCACATCTTAGATGCGCATTCCAACAGCCTTCCAACTTGGAAGGTTCTAAGTAACAGAAATAACATTAGGAGGGGAAGGTGAGCGTAACCAAGATAAGCACGAGCTGAAAGTTTCAGCTATGAAGGACGTTGGCGGATGTTCATGCATGTCGATGACGATACTGGCAAGACCATTGGACAATAAGGTCAGACCAAGATTCAAGAATGTAAAGCAACATTCCACACAACTTGTCGGTCAGTGTCGTGCAAAGTTACCGCATGAGCTGATTATTTAGTAACTGGTGGTATTAGGGGACAGCATAGTATAACTTGTAGTTTCTTGGTCCAAAAAGGGGAGTGCAGCCTTTGCTCCGATGATCAATTTAACGGCGGTAACATAGGTTGGATATCTGTAAGTCGTGGTAAAAAATGGGGTGCGGCTTATACTCTGGAAAATAGTACGGTACTCGGGAAAGCGGTCAATTGTGAATTCCAAAGTGAAGACTCGATGCGTGGGCCCAGGGTACTGTTCCATAGTGCTGCGAACCCCAGAACACAATCTTGGGCGGTCTTGAGTGATTTGATCATGCTATTGTTCAAAATGCAACCGCCATCTCAGCCCTAATTCTTGCAACACAGCCAGTCCACTTACATACGCATGAACCAGTCCATTCCCAGCTTCCACTTCCAACGCCATTGCAAGAGGCAGGTGGCGACGAGGCCAATTTGAAGGCATTATAGTCACAGGTAACAACACCAGAGCTTGAGACAATACTCTGGACGTTATCCAGATTGGAGTGTGAGCAAGCTGTGTGCACAGACAATAGCATACGTAAATGGAACACCAGCAGCAGCAGTCACACCAGCAGCAGCAACACCAGCAGCAGCAGCAGCAGGAACAGCAGTAACATCAGCAGCAGCAACACCAGCAGCAGCAGCAACACCAGCAGCAGCAGCAACACCAGCAGCAGCAGCAACACCAGCAGCAGCAACACCAGCAGCAGCAGCAACACCAGCAGCAGCAGCAACACCAGCAGCAGCAGCAGCAACACCAGCAGCAGCAACACCAGCAGCAGCAGCAGCAGCAGCAACACCAGCAGCAGCAGCAGCAACACCAGCAACACCAGCAGAAGCAGCAGCAGCAACACCAGTAGCAGCAGCAACACCAGCAGCAGCAGCAACACCAGCAGCAGCAGCAGCAACACCAGCAGCAGCAGCAGCAACACCAGCAGCAGCAGCAGCAACACCAGCAGGAGCAGCAGCAGCAGCAACACCAGCAGCAGCAGCAACACCAGCAACACCAGCTTCACCTGCTTATGCAACCTGAATTCCACAGCATACTCCATTACCCTGATTCCCGGAATTCCTGACTATTTACTAATGGGATTTATGTACTAACCAGACTCATTATAGCCAGGGAGGGCCCGTACCTACCGTGAAGTACTGTTGATCAACCGCGTACTAACTTCTTGGATCTACTCACCTCCTGTCAGTGTAGGAGCTGCATCTGCGCTTTAGAACATTGCACGGTGGTGCATTCCTACGGGTGCTGAAAAATAATTCTAACCGAGTCGCAAGTGAACCGTGATTTTTTTCTTTTTTTTCCCTAGATCTATTGACTCGGACGTACGCGAGGTTATACAGGGAAACTCAGAGCATGGACTGCAGTGAAAGAGCAAGGGTCTCAATTATGCTACATTCATCTCCCAAGAAAATGAAAACATACCTTGACATGTGGGCACTGAATTGAAGTTTCCTCCTGCCGAAGTGCAGGTCCTTGCATACGCTGAGTTGGACAGGTAGAATCCTGAACTGCAAGTAACACTGTACATTGTGTGCTGTCCACCGAAACTATGACCGCTTCCATTTACGCTTCTACTATTGGCAACTGTTGGCAAAGTACATACAGCTGCACAAAACAACAAAAGTGGCATGCGGAAAAAAGGAGAAACCAGGTCTAGAGTGGAATTTTTTTTGGAACACATCACTTTTCCACAGAAAACAACAAAAACACTGTAAAATTCTATAGAGCCGTGCTCACAAGATCCGAAACAAGCTGTTCAAAAACAAAAGAGCGATGCGAAATCCTTCTTACCATCACAGCTGCCAACGTTTGTCCAAACATCCTGGCTGCCAGGTGCTCTGTCGTTACATTGAGCAGTGACAGCACCGCCAGTAGTTCCACTTGCTGTCTGGACATATCCACTGCTACACTGGACAATGCCAACATCACTGATCGTACCTTGCAGGTTGGTTGGGTCTTTACACACTGAAAACAATGCAAAAACACAACATCATGGACAAACAAACATAAACATTAAAAAAACCCACTTCCAGTTGTACTTGCTCACTTCCGGAAACTGGTCATCCGGCTCTCCCCACAACAGGGGGGAGAGAGATTCCGGCAAAAGGCATCTTGGAAAGATGACTCAATTGGCTACCGTCACAGCCCAACAAACGACACTGGGTGCGCCTTACACTCCTCATAAATACGCTTTATATGCTTCAGCAGCACACTGACCATTGCGATGCTACAACAGAAGCCATAGCAGCTTGTGCTGGGATTGCACCATTTGTTGTTATTGTTGTTGTATACTATATTTATAGTGGAAATCACCATTCAACAGCTTGCAAGGCTGAAGAATTGACCGCCACTATTCAGCCTGGTCTACACCACACAGCTATCAAATGACTCTTTCTGGTTACTGAATCCCTACTTCTTGGTCTGATTTTTCCCACACACATCACACCACATACTCCAGCGTGCACTGGCTGTTGGTAACCACTCAGGAGAATGACAGCAAAGTGACAGCAAACTGACAGCAAACTAACAGCAAAGTGACAGCAAACTGACAGCAAACTGACCGCAAACTGACTGCAAACTGACCGCAAACTGACACCCACACCCACACACTGACACACATACTGTAAAACCGAGTACAAACGCCGCGGCTTCTATGACTTTCCTGGGGAAAATTTGCAGGCTTCGATATGAGACAGGCGTCTACATGTATACAAGACCGGTATTTCTATGTATGTCACCAGGCCTATGTGCAGACAGTGTATCTTGAAAATCAGGCTCGTATTCAAGACAGGTTTCCATATGAGACCGGCTTTAATACAAGACACTACGGTATATGAGAAGAAGAAAAAAATCCTTTCTCCGGATTCTGTTTACAAGAAACATCTAGACATCCTGCTTATATATTACACAGTGTTTAATTAGCATCTCCCTTACATGTGCATGAACCAACACTCCACTGCCATTTTCCATCTCCATCTCCAGCGCATCTGGCAACTGGTGATGAGTCCAATTTGAAGGCAGCAGTGCTACATGTTACTACACCAGTAATGGCATTGATCTCCTGAACGTTTCCAAGATTAGAGTGCGAGCAACCTGCATTCAAACAAGTATTCAAAATCACGTACACCACAGCAAGGATTACCATAGAAACAAGAACAAAAACAAAAACAAGAACCAGTGAAAAATACCAACACCATTGAGAACCACAAAGACAACGAGCGAAGCAACAGCAGTAGTGCAACACCAACAACAGCCATAGGAAATAGTACTACCTAGTCACAGAGCATAGTCGCAGCAGTTAAAAATCAATCGGACCAACAGCAACAGCAGCGGCAACATCACCACCAAAGACAGCAATGATTACCAGAACCACCACCACAACTACCACCATCACCACCTCCATAAACGGCATGCACAAAAACACCAACACCAGTCGCAACAACAATAGCAATTATAATGAAAACATACTTTGACATGTGGGCACTGAATTGAAGTCTCCTCCTGCCGAAGTGCAGGTCCTTGCATACGCTGAGTTGGACAGGTAGAATCCTGAACTGCAAGTAACACTGTACATTGTGTGCTGTCCACCGAAACTATGACCGCCTCCCTCTACGCTTCTACTATTGGCAACTGTTGGCAAAGTACATACAGCTGCACAAAAAAACAACAGTGGCATGCGGAAAAAAAAGGAGAAACCAGGTCTAAAGTGGAAAACAATTTGGAACACATCACTTTTCCACAGAAAACAACAAAAACACTGTAAAATTCTATAGAGCCGTGCTCACAAGATCCGAAACAAGCTGTTCAAAAACAAAAGAGCGATGCTAAAATCCGTCTTACCGTCACAGCTGCCAACGTTTGTCCAAACTGTCTGGCTGCAATTGGCTCTGTCGTTACTTTGAGCAGTGACAGCACCGCCAGTAGTTCCAGATTTTTGGAGTCTTAGGTACCTTAGGTTTCAAATTCTATCTTCATAATCTCTTGCAGCATTGCATTGAAACTTTTGGGAACACAAACCAACTCGCTTTGGATTGTAAAGAAAGTAGGGAAATGTCACTGGGACTAAGCACTCCAACAAAAATTGCAAAGCTAGGTTTTCCTAGAAAAAAGGTGATTTCTCACATGATTTCCAATGTAACGTTTTTTTACGAACATGGGTTTATGGGATCCTTTCATGGAAAGGAACAGGTCTGCCAAATACAAACAGGGGTTCTCCATATTCGTTGAGACAATAAACACTACTAACGTAGGAAAAATGTCAATTCTTGTTCAAATTCAACAATCGAAGGGTCTTCAGTCCATTCAGAAAAAGCGCTGGCTCTGGAGAGGTCCCGTATTTGGCAATTTTTGTGCTACACTGTGCAGCGCCGCGAGATTCAAAACTTGAAAAAGGGTCCAAAAAAGGTACCTCAATTGGAGTTCGAACCGCAAATGTACTGTTATGCAAGTGGAGTGAACGGACTGGATTTTCATGGTTTTTCCCCAATTCAGTGCTTTGGGGGCAAAACCTAGCCGAAATCCTATTCTCATTATGGCTTGCTCTTTGGACAAAATCAATCCGGCCGTATTTATTTTCCGATTTGGGTATGTGCCACCCTAAGTCATGTATGAACCCGCAAAGGTGCAGGCAAATATTGTATTACATACCCACAGTATAATAAACTACAGCAGGAAGATATCGAAATTACCAGAAGGCCTCCACAGCATATGAAGGGCCTTATTCCCGTAGCTATGCAGAAGACGTTACTTCAGTAACGTCTGGCGCTAGCCAGGGTCCACACAGCTTTAATTTGGTGTTTGTTTGTTTGTTTGTGTGTTTGTGTGCTTGTGTCACGCCTGGCGCTATCCCGTATCTGTCCCGTACCGAACCGTACCATCAAACACAGCTGGCCACATACAGCTGGCCGCAATATTCAAATAGGGCTTTCAAACGCAAGAATGATCATAACGTGAAGCAACTTGGAAGAATGAGTATGAATGCGAAGTGTATGGGCGATAGTGCGGGTTCGAATCCCAGGTAATGCCTGAAAAAAAATAGGAGAATTGAAAAATCCCTTTTCTTTTTTTGCCGTCATCAAGGCGGTAGACGGTGTCGTATTACCCTCGACCGTACCTGTCCCGTACCGTACCGTACATTCAAAGATGGCTGGCCACAATGCATATTCAAATAGGGCTTTCAAATACAAGATCATAACGTGAAGCAACTTGGAAGAATTAGTATGTATGCGAAGTGTATTGGGGGATGCATGCAGGGCGATAGTGCGGATTCGAATCCCAGGTTATGTCTAAAAACAAAAAGTAGAAACTTATAAGAATTTATAACATCCCTATGCTTTTTTTGTCTAGGTCATCAAGGCAAAAATGCATAGCGTAGGGCCCTGAGCTTCCAAGCTCTCTCGTATAATATTTCCACTCACAACTGGAGCAAACGGCATTGGGCCAGAAATGAAGTTGCTACACGCTTTCACCAGTATGAAGCTGTGCACCCACGAAAAGCAAGTACAGTAAAACCTGTGACTACCGACCACCCCTTGGTGCCAGCAAAAGCGGTCTTTAGTAGCAGGTGGTCTTTAGTTAGAGGTTTGCACCGCGCGACCATTATACCATTACCGTATTATCTCTAATATAAGCACGGTCCTTTATTTTTCAATGTACCTCCGCCCCGTGCTATTAATGGAGACGTTCCTTTATTGGAGACTGTTCCATTATTATTTCAATCTCATTTCAGAGGCATGTTGCCATGCCAAATTCATGTATGACACACACATTTCAGGGTTTTTTTCGCCGGTACAGATAATGAATTTACACAGTGTGCTTATAATGGAGACTGAGCACTTTATTTTTTGAATGCTGCCCCAAGGTGTTCTATTATTGGAGACGTGCTATTATTGGAGACTGTGCTTACATTAGAGATAATACGGTATTTGATATGTATATCAAAATGCAGCTAATACAATTCCCCAATGCCATTCTTATTCCCCCCCCCCCCCATCCCCCTGGTGCGCGTTGTGTGCAAGGATACCGAAACCTTTGATCGGAGGAGTCCACAACGCCCCACCTACACAGCTGCACTAATGGATACAAGTAGTCAGCCTCGACTCAATAGTTGTTTGTTTTGTCAACTTCTGTGTTCTAGTCGTCTCTTCGTTCTCCCTGCATGCAACTTTGTTATCTTTCTTGTGATTATTTTTTGTCTTGAGCCGGGTTTGTGTTCTTTGTCAAAAAAAGAAAGGAAAAAAGGGGGAGTAGCATTAGTCCCTGGCTTCCAACTATCTACCCATGATCAGCGTAGTGCACAGAGTGTTGACCGAGACGATCATAGAGTGCACACACCGAGGCTGAAAAACGTGCATTCACCTTGACAAGTTCCATAGTTGGTCCATGCGGCCGGTGTTGGATTGTCTCTGTCAGCACACTGGGCTTGGACAGGACCACTAGCCGTCTGAACGAATCCCGCATTGCACTGCACCGTGCCGTTGGACAGGATTCTAGCATTGGAGCTGCTTGGCGTTGTGCACACTGGATAAATACACGCACACGCACGCACACACACACACACACACACACACACACACACACACACACACACGTGCACGCACACACACACACACATGCACACACACACACACATACACACACCAACATACACACACAAACATACACACACCAACATACACACACCAACATACACACACCAACATACACACACAAACATACACACACCAACATACACACACCAACATACACACACCAACATACACACACCAACATACACACACCAACATACACACAAACACAGACACATACACCCACAAAACCCACAGACACACAGGCACACAACACAACAAACAGCACGGATGGACCATTGTGTGTATTGCGTGTAACCACCAGTCTACAAGCCACTCAAGTCGGCAAGTTGAAATTCGGCGAAAAACTTCAGATAAACCATGCATGGAGACGTGAGGAGATTGCCTCAAACTCAAAATAATATTTAACTTGAGGTTCTAGGAAAGGAGGACAGCTTGTGCTAGTCCCTTCAGCTTTCTGTTGACTTTCACAATACCGTATTTTCCAGAGTGTGAGGGGCACTTTGAACACTCAAAATTCAAAATTCAACCCCAAAAAGGAGAAATGCACTCGGATGGAGAGCCAAGGATCAATTTATACAAAAGAAAAAGGACCAAGGAACTACAAGTTACGCTATACTGTCCACTAACACCACTAGATACTAAATAATCAGCTCATGTGATAACATTGCACGACACTGACCGATGGTACTGACGTTCTACAACTAACTGGCTAACAGCCCTAGCACATCTTAGATGCGCATTCCAACAGCCTTCCAACTTGGAAGGTTCTAAGTAACAGAAATAACATAAGGAGGGGAAGGTGAGCGCAACCAAGATAAGCATGAGCTGAAAGTTTCAGCTATGAAGGACGTTGGCGGATGTTCATGCATGTCGATGACGATACTGGCAAGACCATTGGACAATAAGGTCAGACCAAGATTCAAGAATGTAAAGCAACATTCCACACAACTTGTCGGTCAGTGTCGTGCAAAGTTACCGCATAAGCTGATTATTTAGTAACTGGTGGTATTAGGGGACAGCATAGTATAACTTGTAGTTTCTTGGTCCAAAAAGGGGAGTGCAGCCTTTGCTCCGATGATCAATTTAACGGCGGTAACATAGGTTGGATATCTGTAAGTCGTGGTAAAAAATGGGGTGCGGCTTATACTCTGGAAAATAGTACGGTACTCGGGAAAGCGGTCAATTGTGAATTCCAAAGTGAAGACTCGATGCGTGGGCCCAGGGTACTGTTCCATAGTGCTGCGAACCCCAGAACACAATCTTGGGCGGTCTTGAGTGATTTGATCATGCTATTGTTCAAAATGCAACCGCCATCTCAGCCCTAATTCTTGCAACACAGCCAGTCCACTTACATACGCATGAACCAGTCCATTCCCAGCTTCCACTTCCAACGCCATTGCAAGAGGCAGGTGGCGACGAGGCCAATTTGAAGGCATTGTAGTCACAGGTAACAACACCAGAGCTTGAGACAATACTCTGGACGTTATCCAGATTGGAGTGTGAGCAAGCTGTGTGCACAGACAATAGCATACGTAAATGGAACACCAGCAGCAGCAGTCACACCAGCAGCAGCAACACCAGCAGCAGCAGCAGCAACAGCAGTAACATCAGCAGCAGCAACACCAGCAGCAGCAGCAACACCAGCAGCAGCAGCAACACCAGCAGCAGCAGCAACACCAGCAGCAGCAGCAGCAACACCAGCAGCAGCAGCAGCAACACCAGCAGCAGCAGCAGCAGCAACACCAGCAGCAGCAGCAGCAACACCAGCAGCAGCAGCAGCAACACCAGCAGCAGCAGCAACACCAGTAGCAGCAGCAACACCAGCAGCAGCAGCAACACCAGCAGCAGCAGCAGCAGCAGCAACACCAGCAGCAGCAGCAACACCAGCAGCAGCAGCAGCAGCAGCAGCAACACCAGCAGCAGCAGCAACACCAGCAACACCAGCTTCACCTGCTTATGCAACCTGAATTCCACAGCATACTCCATTACCTTGATTCCCGGAATTCCTGACTATTTACTAATGGGATTTATGTACTAACCAGACTCATTATAGCCAGGGAGGGCCCGTACCTACCGTGAAGTACTGTTGATCAACCGCGTACTAACTTCTTGGATCTACTCACCTCCTGTCAGTGTAGGAGCTGCATCTGCGCTTTAGAACATTGCACGGTGGTGCATTCCTACGGGTGCTGAAAAATAATTCTAACCGAGTCGCAAGTGAACCGTGATTTTTTTCTTTTTTTTCCCTAGATCTATTGACTCGGACGTACGCGAGGTTATACAGGGAAACCCAGAGCATGGACTGCAGTGAAAGAGCAAGGGTCTCAATTATGCTACATTCATCTCCCAAGAAAATGAAAACATACCTTGACATGTGGGCACTGAATTGAAGTTTCCTCCTGCCGAAGTGCAGGTCCTTGCATACGCTGAGTTGGACAGGTAGAATCCTGAACTGCAAGTAACACTGTACATTGTGTGCTGTCCACCGAAACTATGACCGCTTCCATTTACGCTTCTACTATTGGCAACTGTTGGCAAAGTACATACAGCTGCACAAAACAACAAAAGTGGCATGCGGAAAAAAGGAGAAACCAGGTCTAGAGTGGAATTTTTTTTGGAACACATCACTTTTCCACAGAAAACAACAAAAACACTGTAAAATTCTATAGAGCCGTGCTCACAAGATCCGAAACAAGCTGTTCAAAAACAAAAGAGCGATGCGAAATCCTTCTTACCATCACAGCTGCCAACGTTTGTCCAAACATCCTGGCTGCCAGGTGCTCTGTCGTTACATTGAGCAGTGACAGCACCGCCAGTAGTTCCACTTGCTGTCTGGACATATCCACTGCTACACTGGACAATGCCATCATCACTGATCGTACCTTGCAGGTTGGTTGGGTCTTTACACACTGAAAACAATGCAAAAACACAACATCATGGACAAACAAACATAAACATTAAAAAAACCCACTTCCAGTTGTACTTGCTCACTTCCGGAAACTGGTCATCCGGCTCTCCCCACAACAGGGGGGAGAGAGATTCCGGCAAAAGGCATCTTGGAAAGATGACTCAATTGGCTACCGTCACAGCCCAACAAACGACACTGGGTGCGCCTTACACTCCTCATAAATACGCTTTATATGCTTCAGCAGCACACTGACCATTGCGATGCTACAACAGAAGCCATAGCAGCTTGTGCTGGGATTGCACCATTTGTTGTTATTGTTGTTGTATACTATATTTATAGTGGAAATCACCATTCAACAGCTTGCAAGGCTGAAGAATTGACCGCCACTATTCAGCCTGGTCTACACCACACAGCTATCAAATGACTCTTTCTGGTTACTGAATCCCTACTTCTTGGTCTGATTTTTCCCACACACATCACACCACATACTCCAGCGTGCACTGGCTGTTGGTAACCACTCAGGAGAATGACAGCAAAGTGACAGCAAACTGACAGCAAACTAACAGCAAAGTGACAGCAAACTGACAGCAAACTGACCGCAAACTGACTGCAAACTGACCGCAAACTGACACCCACACCCACACACTGACACACATACTGTAAAACCGAGTACAAACGCCGCGGCTTCTATGACTTTCCTGGGGAAAATTTGCAGGCTTCGATATGAGACAGGCGTCTACATGTATACAAGACCGGTATTTCTATGTATGTCACCAGGCCTATGTGCAGACAGTGTATCTTGAAAATCAGGCTCGTATTCAAGACAGGTTTCCATATGAGACCGGCTTTAATACAAGACACTACGGTATATGAGAAGAAGAAAAAAATCCTTTCTCCGGATTCTGTTTACAAGAAACATCTAGACATCCTGCTTATATATTACACAGTGTTTAATTAGCATCTCCCTTACATGTGCATGAACCAACACTCCACTGCCATTTTCCATCTCCATCTCCAGCGCATCTGGCAACTGGTGATGAGTCCAATTTGAAGGCAGCAGTGCTACATGTTACTACACCAGTAATGGCATTGATCTCCTGAACGTTTCCAAGATTAGAGTGCGAGCAACCTGCATTCAAACAAGTATTCAAAATCACGTACACCACAGCAAGGATTACCATAGAAACAAGAACAAAAACAAAAACAAGAACCAGTGAAAAATACCAACACCATTGAGAATCACAAAGACAACGAGAGAAGCAACAGCAGTAGTGCAACACCAACAACAGCCATAGGAAATAGTACTACCTAGTCACAGAGCATAGTCGCAGCAGTTAAAAATCAATCGGACCAACAGCAACAGCAGCGGCAACATCACCACCAAAGACAGCAATGATTACCAGAACCACCACCACAACTACCACCATCACCACCTCTATAAACGGCATTCACAAAAATACCAACACCAGTCGCAACAACAATAGCAATTATAATGAAAACATACTTTGACATGTGGGCACTGAATTGAAGTCTCCTCCTGCCGAAGTGCAGTTCCTTGCATACGCTGAGTTCGACAGGTAGAATCCTAAACTGCAAGTAACACTGTACATTGTGTGCTGTCCACCGACACTATGACCGCTTCCATTTACGCTTCTACTATTGGCAACTGTTGGCAAAGTACATACAGCTGCACAAAACAACAACAGTGGCATGCGGAAAAAAAGGAGAAACCAGGTCTAGAGTGGATTTTTTTGGAACACATCAATTTTCCACAGAAAACAACAAAAACAATGTAAAATTCTATAGAGCCGTGCTCACAAGATCCGAAACAAGCCGTTCAAAAAGAAAAGAGCGATGCGAAATCCGTCTTACCGTCACAGCTGCCAACGTTTGTCCAAACTTTCTGGCTGCCATTTGCTCTGTCATTACTTTGAGCAGTGACAGCACCGCCAGTAGTTCCAGATTTTTGGAGTCTTAGGGCGCGTTTGGTTGGTACGAACTAGAACAGGATTCACCAGAACAGCGCGTTTGGTTGGGACTGCACCTGTTCTGGGTCGGCCAGAACATGTTCTGCTTGCTCCGGCCTCGAGGCCGGAGCAGACCGAGCAGTTTCCCTTTTTCACTGTGAAACCTGGCGGGAACATCGATTTTGGTCCCAAATGATCACGTGCACACGATTTTGGGTTGGATTCGTTGTACCGTACAAAGTGACCATGGTGACCTATACACATTATGAAGAATGCACGCGCGCGCATCAAGTTTTTGTGAAAAAATGTGCTCTGTTTCTGGAGTACCGTTTGGTTGGCATGAGGCTGCTCCATGTGCACCAGCTGTTCGATCCTGTTCTAGATCGTACCAACCAAACGCACCCCAAGGTACCTTAGGTTTCAAATTCTATCTTCATAATCTCTTGCAGCATTGCATTGAAACTTTCGGGAACACAAACCAACTCGCTTTGGATTGTAAAGAAAGTAGGGAAATGTCACTGGGACTAAGCACTCCAACAAAAATTGCAAAGCTAGGTTTTCCTAGAAAAAAGGTGATTTCTCACATGATTTCCAATGTAACGTTTTTTTACGAACATGGGTTTATGGGATCCTTTCATGGAAAGGAACAGGTCTGCCAAATACAAACAGGGGTTCTCCATATTCGTTGAGACAATAAACACTACTAACGTCTCGTAACGTAGCAAAAATGTCAATTCTTGTTCAAATTCAACAATCGAAGGGTCTTCAGTCCATTCAGAAAAAGATGAGTGCTGCCTCTGGAGAGGTCCCGTATTTGGCAATTTGTGTGCTACACTGTGCAGTAGGAACAAGTACAGCACTGCCGGGTGCCGAAAGAACTGGGGGGGTGTCAGGGTTCTAGCCTAGCCCGTCCTTATTTTGGCGAACACAGCCGTTTCGTTCTTATTCTATGATACAGAATTTTAGGTGCAAAAGTAATAGCTAAGTTTACATGCGGACTGTATGTACATGTACCAGTACATGACCATTGCATGGTGACACATACCGTAGTGTCTCGTATACTAGCATGACTTGTATAGAAGCAGGACTCGAATAGAAGCCAATTTTTCGAAGCGCGCCGTGACACAGAAGCATGATTTGAATGCAAGCAGCTTTCTACAAAATACACGCGCAAGTACCGGTACAGTAGATATTGGTTATAACGTGCCCTTCTGATTTTTCACATTAACCGGTATATCACTACAGGCGATTTTCAACTGCGCGCGTCATACATACACATTATACACGTGTGGGTACTCGATCGCGCTAATGTAGCGTACTGATACGTGATGGATGCTACTGCACCTTCTCCAGTCTAGAGTGAAGAACTTCTTGGCCCAAAGGCATCATCCAGGAAGCGCCAGACCAGAATACCCTATGACAACACACATGTGGCTCCAAGTCGAGACATCAATGGCTTACACTCGTGTGTTGCTATCACTATAGACGATAATTTTTCTGCACAAAGAGGTGTTTTGAATGGTGATTCTGTATCCTTATAGCCGATTTATCGCTATATACGATATATTGGTTATAATGATAATTTGACTGGCTTTTTCTGGTTTTGCTTTTGATATTTTCATTTTGTATCAATATAGCCGGTATATCACTATGTCCGATGACTTTATAACCGATATCCACTGTACTTGCGCAGTACATGTGTGGCAGTATGCACTGCACAGTTTAGATTGATGTGTGTGACGTACAAGCATACCTTGAGGAGAAGCATGGTTTGAACCCCGGTTTATACGGCAAGCTCAACCGATGGCAGTCGGGAGTCAGTCAAGTCGGCAGGAAAACCGAGAGATCCCATGATAATGCAATCACGTACTATGGGACTACATGATTGTACAATGTAGTACGGCAGTGTCTTAGGGGCCGTCCGTAAATGTCGATAGTTTTTACAATCCGTGAAATTTTCGTACCTGGGTGGTGGGTGCAGCCGAAATTCAAAGTAAATAAAATATCGATGACACGCGGACCTGGCGCCCAGTACTGCGTGTGCGTGGGTCTGCGTGCGTCGAACCACACGTACACGTAGATTGTTGTCTCCAAAAAATGTAGTGGAGATCGAAACTTTTGAAGCAAAAGAAAGAGGGAAGTTTGTCAGATATTATTCACAAGTATAATTATTGCACAATTATTCGAAGTATCACAATACCTGATTAATCCGGGTCAAGTCCAGCTCTTATTTGAACTCCACATCGAAGAATTGCTACATCGCCAATGGTTGGAACAGTTCCCATGTGGAGCGTGGCCTAACGAAAATGGCACGGCAGACTACTTTGTTTGGTACAGCTGCCTAACGAAAATGGCACAGCAGACTACTTTGTTTGGTACAGCTGCCAAAAAAGATAAGTTTTTCAAAGAGCTTGACAGCCCTGGTGAAGACGACGATGGCTACTACGCCGTCATCGAGGCCTTGTGGACTGTTGAAACGTCCAATAATCGATCTGCGTTTTCACCAAAGCACAGAAGCAGTGGATGGAGACGTTTTCCGCAGACCCGCAGGCAAGGTCGGAGATCTTCCAAAAGGCCACATGTGTCATCAATACTTTATTCCGTAAAAAGTAGGGGGGTGGGTGGTGGGTCCTGGTTACTGTGTAAAATTCACGGATTGAAAAAACTATCGATATTTACGGATGGCCCCTTATGAATCACGCATACAAAATGTATACAGTTTTCAGTAGAAATTGTTCTTGATTTTTTTCTTGGCTTTTTTCCTGCCCGCCCGCATACCTTTAATATGGTAAAATTTGCCGACGAGAAACATAGAAAAAACAATGTGTAGCCTAAAGGAAAAATAAGAATAAGAATAATTCACCCGCCACTCCCGCACCAATTTCACATGGGTTCTGCCCGGAATCTAGATTTTATTTTGGTGGTGTTTCGCCTAATGAGAATTTAAGGTAGCCGGAAGTGATAACTTGAAAAAATTTATTATTGAATGAGACTGGGAATTACATACATATTATGTAAAAAAAAGGACCAAGGAACTACAAGTTACGCTATACTGCCCACTAACATGTTTGCACGATATGTTTGCACGATGTTTCTTCAGGGGGGCTCAAATCATATCAAAAAGAGAAAAATGTAATTGTCATCCCTACTGTATTTCACCCAACAAGATCCAAAACATGCAGAAAAGAAGAGAAAAAAGGCAGGAGGCGTGATGGGATTCGAATGCCCCACACTTGTACTGGAAATCACGGATCGAAACCACGAGGCTACCAGGACCCGTACACAAATGTACACGCGATGGTCTACATGCGCAGCACTGTCTCAGCAGGAGCAAAATCCGAAACAAACTGGTCAAACCCTTAAAACAAACTGGTCAAAACCTTCAAAACAGAAATTACATGTAAAACCGGAAAACCTGGCCTAAAAATAAACTTCAATTGTAGCGAAAACAAAGTATTGAATTGTGAAGCAATGCAGAGACGGAATCTGAAAAAAAACTAAAAATATTTAAATAAATCCCATCGAATTATGCAAAACACTACGCGTCTATAGTTTTGAGATGGACTGTAGTCGCCTCTTCACGATCTTTGCAACGAACCCAGGATGATGAAAATCATCAGGGTGAACTGGAACAAGAGAAATGTTTTCGTTCGGAGCCGCGCATGAGATTCAGTGCAGTGGGTTAACGGGTTAAACAGGATACGTATCACAAATTGAGATTGTTTTACTACAAAGCACTGGCCAGCAACATAAAAGGAAGAATCAGAACATACTAGTACATACAAATGTACTCACGCAAACAGTCAAAATCCCACTCCCAATCTCCAGTCGCGTTGTCACAAGTGGCTAGTTCAGATGAACTCAAGACATAGCCATCATCGCATGTCACCACACCATCGGGAGCTATAGAGTTAACGTTAGGAAACACGGTCAGACTTTGAGGGCAATCTGTCCAGGATGCACAAGACCAGGGAGAAAACACAACAACAGCGTCCATTAGGACACTATGCTGGCTAGGTTGTTGATTCTGGCAGGTCATGTGATATTCACCATGTACACAGCCAATCTACGGTCTTAGCGAGCGTGCCTTGTTAGAGAGCAACTTTACGTTATTGGGCGGGAAAACACGTGAATTCGCGAGTTTGCACTCCGCTTACGGAAAGTTGTCTAAGTAGAGTAAGTAGATAGGGCTCCGATAACGATGCTCAGTATGTGGATTGGCATAAAAATGTACGACTCACTCCTACAGTGCCCCGTTTCACTTGATTCGAAAACTCTGTTTTGCAGAACACAGATCCGCATGCAGACTTTCCGTAGGTAAACTATGTGTTTTACTAACGTAATTACGTAAGCTGAACCTCTCTATTGCCTGATATTGTGTGTGCGGGTAAAACAAACCAGATCAAAGTCCAAAAGGCAAAAAATGTAAGGCTACGCCTTAACCCTTTGAGGATGAAGGACGAATATATCGGGTTTTTTTTAGGTATAGCTGGATTCCTAAAGACGAGTATATCCGTTTTTTATAAAATTGCGATATATTTTAGGTGCTTGAAGTCGCTCATATGTTGCTCAGACGAGTACGATCTGATTCTTCGTCAAGGTGAGACATGTCTCAGTCGATCCGCGTCGGTCCCGTGGACAATCGGCCACATTTGAGTATACTCAAAAATGCGCCAACCAAGAA